AAAATAACAAAAAACCGTTTCTTACGATCCTAGTTTAAAAGACACTAGCCCTAGTCTCGAATCTGCAATTTTGCCATATTCATTAGTATCTTACTTTCAAATTTTTGCTTGTGCTTAGTTGTTTTGTTTATTCCTTACAAAAACCTTTAGATATCCTAGATTAATTATTTCACTGCCCTTATAGAGTTATTATATTATCTAAGTTTGGTCGGTGACGATTCAAACTCTATATAGTATATTGTGGCACGAGTATTATTAATTCGAGACATTCATATTGATATTTTTTAGGTTGAAAAATGCTTTAGTTACTAAGTTTGGTTTGGAACTTCAACAATTAAAATTTTCCTGGATAATTGTGATGTATTAGCTAGTCATTATAATTAAAGCGATGATACTAGCTAAAATATAGAATGTATAGCAAAGAGTTGAATTATATGATGCTCAACTCAAGTGTGTCATCATTACAGAAATAATTTTCTCGCCAAAGGCTTACTTGCTTGGATACGAAAAGAATGAATGTTGAACTATACGACTCATTAGTTGCATTTTGGCATTACAAGTTATATTTGACTTAGATTTTCTAAAAAAATATAATCAATAATTCCCACTTTGCACGAAAATGTTATCGTTTAAATAACGTGCTCTCGGATATAGCATAAATAGACTGGATGCAATTTTTTGGTTATTTATGTAATTTTCATAGGAAAAGGATATATAAGCAGCAGAATACCTGATAATAATATGAATTAACTTATATGCCATCTAGGGTATACTCTTACCAATCTACTCCAGGGCAACTACCTAGCTAACAATTAATTTTCTGATTATTTACCTAGTTGAGTTCTAGAATTTGATTACCCTAAAAAGGGTTTTAAACAAGTGAATATGAATGATGTAACAATTGGATTATGTTTCGAGTTATATATCATTTTGGTTAGGCAAAAAAAAAACAAAATAAATTTATAAAATTTGGGTTACAACTTACAAGGACATCTTATATATGGCCTGTGTTATCATGAAGATGGTACACATTAGCCGACAACCACCACAAACAAGATTACTGTATAGAGAACAACTAAATTGACTATACATCGCATCAATCACACGTTCAGGACAGATGCAACGATCACTGCCACAATATCTTTTTTTTTGGTGGGATAAAAAAGGAAAATTGATAAGATCCTTGGTAATTTACCAAAAGCAAATTCTATATCAGATTTGCTAATGATTTCCACTTCAAACATAGCAACTACAGTAGTTGCAAAGATTGATTTATAATTTCTTTTTGTCGTTTCAGGTTTGCAAAGGCTAATACCACTTTATGCGTTGTTAATCTCAAACTCTATCTTTAGACTTTTGTCGTATTATTAATCTTTTGCTGGCGTCCGAAACTAAAGAAGTTTATAAACCCTTACATCGTACCTAGTGTTTTGGACATTGTTATATATGTAAACCGTTGACTACTAATTTAAAGCATCGAAAAATACAGAAATGTTATGTGTGATTTTCTGGCAGACAACATAAAATGCGTTCTCATATCACACATCAATTATTTATTTACTATGACATATTGGACCCTTTACCCATTCTATATAGTCTCATACACATGTGTATGCTATATATTACCCCTACCTTATAGTTGCATAGGTTACATGATTTGTATCTTTTGTTTTCCGGATGCATAATTTTGTAACTCACACATATTGTGCGGACACAAATATGGCACCTTGCTGGACCCATCCGAACTCGTACACATGTGCGTATGTCTATGAGTAAAAAAAAAAGAATTTGAATATGTATACACTAATTAGATTTATGGCAAAAACGTATATTATGATGTGGACATAGCAAAATCAACTCAAACACCCACGTAGATTTCCCTTAATTGAGCACTAACTAATTTGGAGTTGACATAAACTTTCTCGTCAAAATTCCAAAATTCAGAACATAAAAAAAAACTCCGTAAGATGTATAATATTTAAAAACATAGAAAATATATAAGATGTAAAAAAAAAAAAAAACTCCGTAAGTTATAAAATTTGTCATGACCATGGAATATATTGTCGAAAATCAGAAACCAAATAGTCTTGACATTTAAAACGTACATAATACGGTTAAGTATGAATGAAACTAAACCATAATTCTCTCCATCCACAAAATGAATTCCTTAAACTATAAACCACATGGGTTATGGATTATGGTTTACAAATACAAATATACAATGAGATCATTGTATATTATATATGACCTACAAACTCAATGATCATAAGTTTTGGTTGTAATCCCCATAATTTGAGAAAAGTAGACAAGTCGTCTTGAAGTCCCATAGATATGCATGAAGAGTGTTTAGAAGTGTGTAAAAAGACTTGTTGAAATTTGGTCTCAAATGGGCTAATAATCCATAAACATGTCTTTTGAGCTGTTAATGGTTTGTCTAGTGTTATTTAGGGTTAGAACATGTTTGAATACAATAAATAACACTAGAAAAGTAGGCTAAAAAGGAGATTCCCAATACATGGATTGGGGCATTGGACCCACTGGCATTCTACTAAAAGGCTAATATGGTTTGGGTAGTTTATCTGCAAAGTGTAAAGAGTTTTTCAGGAGTTTAATCTGCAAAGTAAAAAACAGTTATAGTAACAATACGATTCTTTAACTATTTAGACTTCGAAACTTTTTGTTGGTATATGGTTGTGTCAGATATGATTATTCACCTTTTTCTTTCCTTTCATTGTGACTGTCTTCTTGGCATGCTCTATTCGGACCGACTGCTTTGGATAGGAGAATAAGGCAGTCGTGTGATGTGTGTGTCTCGGCAAGCACTGCATGAGAGATAAAGCAGAAGCGGTCTTGTTAAAGTTAAAGTATACACATGGGTCGCAAATGCCTGGTTTAACTGGATTAATCATTATAAAATTTCAGTTTTTCTTTCTTAGTTTTAAATTGTCATCATCTTAACAAGTTGTTTTTAGTTAAAGAATATATGAACATTTTTTTTGTTCCAAAGTAAAAAAAAAGAAAACAGTTGTAGCGAAAACCTTACGATCATTATGGACAAGAGTTAAGATTTATATGGGTCTCATAAGTCAACAAAAGGATCATTACACAACACTCAATTTTGTTATTTTTGGTAACATGTGAATGTGATAAACTTTTTAAGTTGACATTGGTAACGTGCTATACATTTAACGAAACGTAGGACAACATGTGTTTGAGTTTTTGCTTTTGTCAAAACTCAAAACATAAAATTATGGTTTTAAAACATAACATTTTTATACAAACTTAGTTCTACAAAATGACATCAATTTGTTTCGATTTTTGTGTATAAATATGTTACAGAGATCACATATAGGACACTTTATATGTTTTGGAGGTCCATACTGGCCCAATATTCGTATTTTGGGCCTTAACAATAGATCAAACAGGTAAAACCCTTTGCGATGATCCAAAATGGCATGAGACTCAATTACTACTTACTAGTAGCTGTAGGTCTCAAGTCTGAAACTATACAATCCTATTGGTTAAGGAACAAGCCTATACAATCCACTAATTACAGTTTTATTACATGATATTTGGCGCTAAAAGTATACTCAAAATATGATATGCAAATAAATTAATTGTGAATGTTAAAAATTAACAATACCAAACCAAATTTTTTCAGGTTAAAGTAAGCTAAGCCGAATTACAAATTGAACATCTTTATTCTTACTTTTAAACAAAAAAAAAATTAGGAGAAAGGTAGTGATTGAAACATATGTCGCCACATTTTTATTATTGTATATCTCTAAACCACAGTATTCTCAAGATCCTGTCTGATCTGATACTATAAAGGCCAGATGTTGAGCACAAACACGTACCATGAGTCATCGCACCAACCGATCAAGTGTCACTTAGGCTGTTAGACACATGTCCGAGGATTTAAAAAGGTGGCTACAGAGCCTACTGTGTCTAGGAAAAGTCCAAGCGGACCAATTAGGTTTGTCTTCTCTATGGTCAAATCAAAACTATATATTTTCTTCTTTGATTAAAAAATTTTACGTTCTCCGAATGTTTAAAAAACAACAACAACGATGTTCTGCTCCAGATACTGGCTTTGACCGGCCAATTCAGAACAAACTGGTAAAATATTAGATTAACATAGAAGAGTAAAATGTTTTGTTAAAAAGAAAATAAAATAAAAAAAAAATATCTATTTTTTACTCAGCGTTGTTATAAAAACACTGCCTATCTTTGTAAAGAGATGTCTAAATTATTTCTACTTGTTAAATTTTTTTAATTCTGGTTGGCTTTCTTTTGATAGCTCAAAGTGTCACTATGGACTGCAGACTTCAATCGTATGTCTCGATGGGTCATCCTGTGTGGTTAGGTGATGTCTTTACTGAGGAAAGTTTATAATCCTGTGATTGATCTGAGCTTTTGGTGTGTGGTGTTTAGGTTAGGCCCTACACTGTGTGTTGTTAGGGCTTTTTCTAAGTATGGATGTGCCCTCTTTCAGCCTTAGTTTTTGCCTTGTTTGTATGTATGGGTTGACATTTTAATATTTTATCTAAATATAACGCCAGTTGAAAAAAAGGTTGGCTTTCTTTAGCTTCAGGTAAACTTGAAACAAGAACCAAATGTCAAGACGAACCGGTCGCCACATAAACATAGTAACCATATTCTAACCAATCAAAAATAGCCATTACATGACTCTTATTTTTATATATATATTTTTTTGTAAAATAATCGTGGGTCATATAATACTTTGTATTGTAAAACCATACCGTACAAGTCCGCAAATTGTAGTTCGAGAAGTTTCCACTATGCGAAGAATGCACCAAAGCCGTTCCAGAAGTTTCTTAACTCTAAAGTTTAGTGTACTATAATATTATTATTTTTACTCACAAATTTTTATAATCAAAACTAATCTCATCACTCTCTTTCAACTCTTTTCTATATAAGCCACCTCAAATGGCTTACGTGGACATTACCTTCCTCACTTTTCCCCTCATCAACTGCCATAAACGAACTTAAAAATCCCACGGAACCAATGTCCATGTTTCAACTCCCAAGATGAAGCCAATTCTCGAGACCGGTTAAAATTGCAGAGCATTGATTTGATCCAAGACCGCATTACCAACCAAGAACCTCGTCTTAAATTTTCAATTGGGGGTTTTGGTGTCTATAAGGCGATGAATCCGTTTGTACCGGAAGGCGTTGATCATCTACTACCACAACCAATGGAGGGGTTACACGAAGTTGGTCCACCTCCGTTTCTGACCAAGACATTTGAGATGGTTGACGATCCAAACACAGACCAGATTGTATCTTGGAACAGAGGAGGCACTAGTTTTGTCGTTTGGGATTTGCATTCTTTCTCCACGGTTCTTCTCCCTCGACATTTTAAACACAGCAATTTCTCAAGTTTCATCAGACAGCTCAATACTTATGTGAGTGTTCTCTCTCTGTTCTTCTTCTAGTTCTATGTTCTCTGACCAAACACAAAAACAGAGCATTGCTCTGTTTTATCCTTTTTTTTCTTTACTTTCATCTTATTATAGTTAGCTGGAAATTAAATAAAAAACACGCGAAGTATGCTCGCTGCAACTACAAAAAAAAAATGGTTGCATTTTTTACTTGGTAATGAAAAGACAATTTCAAATTTTACTGTAAAAAACCATTGGTAGCTTCCTATTCTAGAAACATCGAAAATGTAGATTCCGTATGGTAGTGGACTTAAAAGAAGGTTTAGTAAGTTCCAGAAGCTTGTCTCGTGTCAACTTGCCATGTAAAATATTCCTAAGAAACAGTCATCAATCTTATCCCAATACCCATTGTTTATTCACTAATCAGCTTTAAGGTTACCCACTTGTTCCATTCTTTCATTTAAAAATATTTACAAAGAACCAAAGTGCATCTCACTCCAATAATTGCTGTTTGTTTATGTCAACTTGAGAGAATATGTGAGACTTTCAAAAACCTTATCAGATTCAACTGTGAGTATACTAAAGCAAAAAAAAAAAAAACAACAACAACAGGGTTTCAGAAAGATAGAAGCAGAGAGATGGGAATTTGCAAACGAAGGGTTCTTGGTGGGACAAAGACAGTTGCTGAAACACATCAAGAGAAGAGCCACTTTCACTTCATCAACTCCGTCAAGCCATGACGCTTGCAACGAGCTCAGGAGGGAGAAGCAGGTGCTGATGTTGGAGCTGATGAGTCTGAGACAGCAGCACCAGACCACGAAAAGCTACATCAAAGCTATGGAACAGAGGATAGAAGGAGCAGAGAAGAAACAGAGGCATATGATGTCCTTCTTGGCTAGAGCAATGCAGAACCCTTCGTTTCTGCACCAGCTGCTCAAACAGAGGGATAAAAGGATCATGGAGATTGAAGATGAGACGGCAAAGAGGAAAAGAGGTTCTTCTTCGATGTCGGAACTTGAGGCTCTGGCTCTGGAGATGCAAGGCTATGGGAAACAGAGGAACATGTTGGAAGAAGAGGATCACCATCTAGTGGAAGAGAGAGAGTTGGATGATGGTTTCTGGGATGAGCTTCTTAGTGACGAGAGTTTGAGTTTGGCTTCTACCTCTTAACACAAGATGGATCCTTTTCGTTTTTTAGTTGTACTTTTTACGCTCACTTTCTTCTTTCACAAGAACCACCTTGTTTTTTCTTTATTTTGATTTGTTTTTTGTTTTGTCTTATGTTATTTACAATAATTTCTTATCAATAATTAGTAATTTAGTAGTAATGTAAACTAGAAAGCGGTATGATTCTTTTATATATGTGTAGATTTGTGATAAATATGATTGTCCATAACTTTACCGTCCTTGACAAGACTATAAGTTGGACCTTGATGTTGTTGGATGTTGGATGATCTCTTTCTCTGCTTTAGCTCTTTCCCTAAACTCTTTTTCAAATGTGATCTGTCCTTTTCACGATATTTTAATGTCAAGAGGAGCTTTCGCTTACTTGAGTCAATGTTATGACAAGTTCACAACACAAGAGTGAGCAATCATCCAAGTCTCAGAATTTAACCTGTAATGGCGTTAGCTTATCTTAGTGCCAACATCTGGGTGTATCCTTGTGATCAATCTTAGGATGATCACTCTCTCTCTCTCTCTCTCTGGTCATACCGGGAACAGGAAATCTGATATCTAGTCTTGCAGAAAACAGCATCAAAGATATGTTTTGAGAGCAGTGAAAAAGTATGAGTAGGAAGATTAGTACAATATCAAGAATCCAAGATGGTGAATACTGAATAGTCTCATGGATAAAGAACAGAAACCTCTTTGCAGTTCTGTTTCCTGCTCTGAAGTTCCTTTCCGCAGCAGCCAGAGTCTGGTCTATGGAATCCCAAACTTTAGACATCTACTTTTTACTCTTCCTTCCCCATCACATCTATTTGAGACGTCTCCAGCAGCAGTGGGATGCTGGACACTGGTCGAGTCAAGAAGAAGAATTAATAAGAATCTTGCATAGATAAAGAAAAGTTGTATACAAAAGTAAACACCTCAAACAATGGTCCAAATTTCTTCCTTCCTTCAAGAGCTTCTATAAAGTTCCCTAATTTCTTATAATCTAAGATTCTAATCAATTAGTCCCCAAGCCCATACAACCAAAGCCATGTCGTTTAGATCCACTACTAAAAGGCAAAATATAGCAAGTTACCAGAGTGGTACAATAAATGTGAAGAAGATTCTAGCTGATCAGCTTCTAGATCATGTTCTGTTCACAGTGATGAAAACCATGATTTGAGACAGATCAAAAGAAGAGTGAAAGTGACATGCATGAGTCGAAAACACCATAAAATTAAGAATCCGTTTGAAAGCCTACTCGACAACAACCGTCGGCGGAAAAAAAAAAAGAAGCAAAGCTGATAGGTTATTAAACAACTTCGACAGATTCAACCGTTTTTTTTTTCTCTTTCTCACCATTTACTTATGGAACAACCACTGGTTTTGGGGTTCTTTACACTGCTTCTTGGTTAGGGTTGGCAAGTGGCAACTCTTGGAGATGGAACATATGGTCCTAAGGACACTAGTCGATAGTCGACGCAAGCCCTCTGTGCCCGAGTCAGATGTATCTATTTCAGGTTATTATTTTTAGACACGATTTATATTGTTCGGTTTTATTAAATTACACTTTTTTATGTATTCATTTTAGTTCGGTTTGGAGTTTTATAAAAATAAGTTCAAATAGAACATATTTTATATTGGTTCATTTTAGTTTTTTGGATCAAATAAAATAAAATAGTTTGTTTATTGACTCAGGAAAAAAAATATCATAAATATGAGAGTTGAGTTGACACACACTTTTATTTATATGATGGGAAAAATTTGGAAAAAAACATATGATAGGAAATTTTCTTTCAATATATTGAAAAGTACGTAGTAGTTGGTAAGTGCAAAAAACAAACTCTTATATCATGGCATTTTCATGAAAACTGCTAATAAGAGGCTGCGATCATCATTTTAGAGAACTCGTGCAAAGAAAGAAAACCATCGCCGTCGAGATCGGCTTCACGAACCATATGCTCAGCTTCTTCCGCAGTTATCTTCATCCCCATGTCCTTCATTCCTTCTCCCAACTGCATTTTGTAGTTTACATTATATTAGGAGACATTGCAACAACAACAACAAAGACTATATATAGTTAATAGAATGATTATATGACTTGTATAATTCAAAATGTCCATTTTATTGTTGGTTATACACTAATGTCTCTTTTTAAGTTTAAGTATCTAATTCAGAAAAAAGACATTTGTTTTTTAATCTAGTCCGGGTCGGCCCTAACAATGTTGTGGTGTCGGTTTGTGAAAAAAAAACACAAGACTATCAGCGCAATGAAGTTTCGTATAAGACAAAGTTTTTAGTAAGGTGTGGATGATAGTAGTCGTCGATCAAAAAGATAAAGATCGCATTTAGTAATTCATATCAATCTATATTATCACTTGTTATATATAACACTATTTGTAATGTGTATGTATTGTTTCTACGTTATTTATGAATATGATCAATTGATCATTGTTTTAAAATAATCAAAGAAGACTTTGAGTTTATATATATATTTTTACCTCAAGTGGAGATATGAAACCGTTTCCGTCTTTGTCGAACACTCTGAATACGTCTATTAACTCATCCGAGACCGATTCCTATACAATATTTTTCATTTTAAATTAAACTTTCCTCTAAATTTATCAATCTTAATTATAATAGTTCAACGTTTATTTTTTTTTGATAGTTATATTTACCTGAGAACTGTTTTGAGCCATAATATACAAGAAGTCATCAAAAGTGATGCCACCGTTGCCGAAGATGTCGACGTCGCTCATCATCTGTTGCAGTTGTTCCGCCTTTGGGTTCTTCCCCATGGACTTCATCACCTTCGTTAGCTTCTCCTTCGTGATGAACCCTGTTTCACGTACACGCATCATATTATAACACCATTCATCAGTATACAACAAATCAGACAAGAAAGAGAAAGAAAGAAAGAAAAAAAGACAGACCATCGGAATCTTTGTCGATGAGACAGAAGGCTTCGTAGAACTCTTGGATCTGCTCATCCGTGAAAGCATCGGCCATCTTCGATCGCAAAGAGAAAAGTCAAAAGTCTCACTCTGTTTTGAGATTTGATATATGATGACCAAACTTTTCTTAATATCTGTTTTTGTGATGCAGAAGAAGAATGGGAGCATCTATCTCGTTTAAGTAGACATCAACCTCCTTGGCTCTAGGCTATTGCCGGGTCAAGGTCAAAACTCATGACCTTGCATTTTCATTATTTGTGATATTTTGCTGGAGCACGACTCCAGGTCACGCGTCTTTATTCAAACTTTATGACTTTGACGCTTATTTTTTCCTTATTTTTCATCAAGTTTGGAAAAATATAGGCAGAAAATTAAATTCGGATCTTGATGATTCTGGAAAGAAAGGTAAGAGTAATGCTCGGGTTTGAACTTTGAAGAGTCAAGTACAGTATTAAAAAGTCGCACATCAAGAACAACAAGTTGCAGTTCTTAAGATATAAATGATGCCCGAAAACAGTAAATAAATAGGTCTTGTTACCATAAAAAGCGAAACGCATTTTTTACAAATGGATTTTTAATATATTTGCAAATGGGATTTAAAAGGTATATCAGTATTAAAAACACCGGATTGGCTTAAAAAAGGAAAAACATATTCATCTACTTCGGAGTTCGGAGAAACATGACTCTCCGAAGCAGTGCATGAAAGAGCTTTGGTAAGAGGAGGTTATGAACGAGAAGCAAGACTTGTGTTTATTTATTTATTTATGATAACCCTTTTAATTCACCTAATTGGGAATCTTCTTTATGTTCTTGTTCGGTTATGGTGAGAGCGAAACAATGAATAAAATGTGAATAAGTCAGAAAATAGATTGTGGGCTCATTTACGCTTGTGTCCACACAATAATAGGACTGGGCAAAATATAAAAACATATGTTGTTATCGGCTACATATGTTCTAAGATAAAAAAAAAAAAAAAAAAACAGATAACTATAAAACTTAACATGCACTAAAAATAAAATAAATCAGAAAATACTAGAATTTGAAATTTCAGATATAGATTTTTATTTTGTTCTGAACACAGGATAACTAGATTCTGGCTTTGAATGGAGATAGTAAATATGCCAGAGCAGATCAAGCAATTCAAATATATCCAGCAGAATAAAAGCAGATTAAACAGATATAACATATTAAATGCAGATCAAGTTTTATTAATTTTTTATTAAAAAAGGCAGTTTATTTAAAAACACTCCAAATCTCCAGCTTTTTTAGTGTTTATGGTGCAGTAAAAATATCCTTCTTATTTTTGATCTGGTAGCAGATCAATTATTTTTTAATAATTTTTTTTTTTTGAACTGCTATTATATTTTGTGTGAATGGAGGAAAAATAGCAGTTCCTCCATTGTGTGTATTATCTGCTTTTAATCTGTCCTTCCATTTAAGGTCTCTATCGGAGCCCGGATACGGAAAAAATAAAATAATAATAATTGCCGGAAAAAAATGAAACACATCACAAACGTGGCTAGATAGTATCGGATAAGAAGTGCACAAATGCTCCTAGTCACTACTTTGATCGTATAATAAGTGGTGTGGTATATATTGATCCTTGATAGGATGTGAGTCGACGTACGTACGTTGTCTATTTTGGTACCTAGCTGCTACATATGCCTTTGGTCTACAATGTAGACTCTACATGCTCTTCTCCTTGTAATAGTATACCAATTTACCATCAAACTCAAAAAAAAAAAAAAACATGGGTTATGGTCAAATTATCATAAACATAATATAAATGTTTATGTTTGATGTGGTATGTATATGATTCAGTCGGAATCTCACGTGAACTTAGACCATCATCATTGGAAGAATCTTAGAAGTAAGATTTACCAAAGAGAGGATCTTATATAAAATATTTTCTTTGATAAATCTTACTTCTAAAATCCTCCCATTGAATATGCCCTTAAGCTCCCACTCAGTTAGTGGGGCTGTGTCTTTTGCTTCCCCCAAATCTTTCTTATTTGCCTTTTCAGCTAACCTATTGTTTAGTAAAACGTTCCATTTCATCACACTGCAGTTTAGATTTAAGTACAAAGCCGATAATCTCGATTTCCGTATTATATGGCAGAGCTCCCCATAAATATACTACTAATCAAAAAAAAAAAATACTAATCTTCATCTTATCCCACCAATAATATAAGCAACTAGCCAACTACCATATACATATACAAATACAAATTAAAGGGGGTGGGGGAATACATATACCACAACTAAGAATTAAATCGATATGAGTTAGTAGATCAATTGGTCCATTTACAAAGAATATTAAGCTCATTCTAAATCTTCTTGGAAAATATTATTTGAGAATTACTTCATAATAAGTCTAACACGAAACGATGCTAACAACTAAATTAGTACTAGCTCTTGTTCATTACACACTCTACCAACTTAGTCGGACTTGGGCGTTACAAATTTGGTATACAATCTAATAGTTTTATTTAATTATAATAATCCTTAACGTTACAGTATCCACATTATCAGGTCCAGTTAACATCGCTGGTCAAACTAGAGAGATCAATGATCTATCAGTTACTATATTTTTCTAATACTCGCGTTAGATTCAAGACTATAGGATTTGGGTTATATTATAAAAATTTCATAACCTTATAAAATAAAACAAAAAATGCTCATTAGAAATGATATAAGCAAAAGGCAAAAAGAGAAGCCATCTGTCAAATGTAGCCGTTGTACCTTCCCCCTTCTCTTTAACTCCTTTTTAAATACTCTTTTCTCATTTCCTCAAACGCTCTCCATTTTTGGTTTCTCTGTTTCCGAAAACTACTAAAAATAAACAAGTCTTGAATTCTCTCATTGGTGCGATGGTGAGATCAATCCAAGAAGGAGTCTTGATGTCTTCATCTTCTTCTTCCACCACAAGCAACAGTAACGACTCAGACGATTCTCTCAGCCCATCAGCCTCTACCAAAAGCTTCGTCCTCGGAACTATCCGTCCGCCGATCACCGGCGCGTACAAACCACTCGCTGTTCTCTCTGCCCACGTCGGCTCTGTTTCTTCTTTAGCGCTCTGTGGGGAGTTCTTGCTGAGTGCGTCTCAGGGGAAAGATATTATTGTTTGGCAACAGCCTGATCTCAAGATCTTTGCGAAATTTGGACAGGGAGATGGGTCTGTCAAGGCTCTTGTCAGCGTGGGAAGCAAAGTGTTCACGGCGCATCAAGATAGCAGAATCAGAGTTTGGAAAGTTTCTCGGAGAAACTCTGAGAACGCCTTCAGGCTTGTCGATACGCTTCCTACGACCAAAGACTATTTGGGGAAGTTCATGAAACAGAGCAATTACTTTCAGACGAGGAGGAACCATAAGCGTCTCTGGATCGAACACGCAGACAGCATTTCTTGCCTTGCGGTTCACGCCGGGATTATCTACTCTGGGTCGTGGGATAAGACTCTCAAAGTCTGGAGAGTGTCGGATCTCAAGTGTCTTGAATCGATCAAGGCTCACGACGACGCAATCAACGGTCTTGTAGCCGGAGACGGTAGAGTGTACTCTGCGTCTGCGGATGGGAAGGTCAAGATTTGGGGGAAAGAGAAGAGAAAGCAGAATGAGTCTACTTCTTCTTCTTCCTCCTCTTCTTTACATGTTCTGAAGGCAACATTGGACGGTCGTGCTGAGGTTTCAGTGAACTCGGTGGTGGTTTCTGGCGACGGGAAATGGGTATACGGAGGAGGATCAGATGGGTTTGTGATGGGGTGGGAGAAGAAACAGAAAGAAGGAGACTTTGAGGAGTGGAGATTAGAGTTTGAGATGAGAGGACATAAGATGGCTGTTCTTTGCATGTGTGTGGTTGGGGAAATGGTGTGTAGTGGTTCGGCTGATAAGAGCATTGGCTTGTGGAGGAGAGAAAAGAGTGGCATACTCTGTAAATTCGGAGTCATAGATGGCCATGAAGGTCCGGTCAAATGCTTGCAGGCTTCGCCTAACAATGTCGGTGCTGGCTTCATGCTTTACAGTGGAGGCCTTGACAAGAGCCTCAGGGTTTGGTGGGTCCCTAAACATGACAATTTAGAAGACAAGAAACCAAGTTTTAAGACATTGTTGATGCAAAAGGCATGAGTGAAACATATATTAGTGTGTTGGTGTTCTTTTGTTGTTTTACTTACATATACACATATACGTTTTGGTTTACATTTGTAATTCGTTATTCGTTTTGTAAAGTCACGAGGTTTTTTTCTTCCGAGAAATATATGAATATTGAATTCTTTATTTTGTTAACATTTGTGTCTACCAACTGTTTTGGTCCAAATGATATAGAGTAAAGTCTTGGATCTTTGGTTACCTTTGCTTTGTATTGAAACTGTAGCAATGGGAATGATAGCTTCTGCGTTGGACAAAACTATTGTTTTTAGCCTCTTTTTGAGCTTTGATCACCGTCCAATTAGCAAAGCAGAGTTGTGCAACTTTCTCCATCAGGACCATCACCGTAATGCTTTTACCATGTCCAATTAAAAACTTGTATTATTAGACGCACCCATCATTATGGACCAACCAATTGGTTTGAAAGTGAAGCATATATCCCAGCTTTGTTTATTCCAATATATATAATCTATATAGCAGATTATCGCAGTTTTGAATATAAAAATGAGATGAGAAAGCTTTGAAGGGATGCATGGAGCCAAAAACATAAGTGTATCATGTGTGTATATACATTTCTTTTTGAAGTTGGAATAAATTAGGTGGAAAAAAAAACATACTTCAAAAAGAAACAATTCATTATCAATACAACTTCAAAGGCAAAATCATTTTATAGCCAGAATATGTATCAAACATTATTATCTTCACAAAAGGGGTATTCGTATATACTCTACATGTGCTAACTTTGAAGTGGAAAACATAAAACCCTGCCTTTGAGTTAAAATGGAAGGTCAATAGCTAGCTAAGCTTAAACTACCCCTGTCTGCACAGACCATATGAAGCTAAAACTTTGAACACAAAAAATACATCACAAAAAACAATGGATGATTTGATTTACTTAGCTGAGAAATGAACCTTCCTGTTCTGATAATCATCTCTTCTGGACCATGAGCGTTTGTAGTTAGAATGATGGCCATGTAACTCATCTCTATCCTTGTATTACCTACCCCAACCATCACTAGATCGCTTCACATCCCAATTTCTTTGCTTTGTCTCACTTTCTCTACGTGTTTGCCAAGTGCCTGCATTTGCCCCATGATCCCTTAAAGCTGCATTGTCAGACCCGCAGCCAGCTTCCCATGGATTATAACCCTTTGACTCCCGAAGATCACGACTATATCCCTTACTACGCCACTCCTGATTTTCCCATCCACCACTGCCACAAGAATCATTGTTCCGACCTCTATCACGACTATATCCCTTACTAGGCCACTCCTGGTTTTCCCATCCACCACTGCCCCAAGATTCATCCTTCCAATCTCTATCCTCCCATCCCTTAGCAGAGAAACCTCCCCAAGTGGCTTCTTCAGCTATCTCCATTCTACAATTAGGCTTGGCTTCCCAAGGATTGTGGAGCATTTCATACTCTTCAGCTGGAACACTCTCAGAACCTTTCGCTTTCTTGTGTTGGTGCCCTGACTTATCCCATCCATCATCGTTTCCCCGGACTGAGTTCTCCCAACAGTCAGTAACCCTATCTTTGGTATTCCACTGGTTCTCCTTCCGATCTTCAGTCAACAAACAACCCCCAGATGTTGAATAATTTGCTTTCTCATTTACACAACTTAGCCTGGCTTCCCAAGAACTCGCCCTATCTTTTGGATGATCAGTACCATTCTCTACTAAATTCCAACCATTCGATTTATTTTCCAATGTGTTGACATCTTGGACTTTATCACTGCCTTCCCATGGAGACTCTTCAACAGGCTCTAGCTCACACCCACTCCAATTCTTATCTCGCCAACCACGTTTAAAACCAACCTCTACATCATCGGGAGGAGCAAAGTAAGCCGTTTCTAAATCCCTAATCAGTTCGGGGTCAATAAAAGTATCCCAATCTACTTCACTAATATAAAGATCAGGATCAGGAAGAGAAACATCACAACGAAGACCATTAACTCGAGACCAAAACCTCTTCTTCTCATTATGAAAAGTCTCTTCGCAAGCAGAATCATCCCAAGTGATTACATTACCACTATACCAGCTCTTAAAGTCAGCAGCTTCAACAACTTTCTGCCATGGTACTGATCCAATCACTTCACAGAATCTCTTTTCCCATACTGGAATCCCATCATCTTCACGATAACCTTTGTAAAGAAAGAAATAAAATAGTCAAAACACTCATAAGATGCTTCTAGAAATATGCAGAATTTGAAAACATAGAAATCAAGAAGGAGAATACCAGAAGAAGAAGAAGAATGGCGTTCGCTGTACCATCGCTCAGGAGATCTGCGACGGCGGAATCTAGATCGATGATTCCACTTTCCCATTTGAAGAAATCTCAACGGGCGGTGGTGATTGGATTTTGGAGAAATTGGAGAGGAGGAAATTAGGGGTTCGCGGGAGAATTTGGGAACGAATTTGGAAATTTCACAAAGGAGCTAGTGAAAGTTGAATCGGTGGCGGTGGTGGTCTATTCAACAACTTCCCGGTTCTGTAACGTAACGCCCCAAAATTTATTACTTTTGGGCTTTAAATGGGCCTTAGGCCTTGTGACCTTTTAAAACAAACATACATAGTTCGGCTTGCTGATAGGAATATGAATATCGCATGCATACAGTTGAGAAATGAATTTGCAAAAGTAAAACTTGAGAATAATTTAACTGTCTTCTAGTGAACGAACAAAAGGTTAAAAATTGAATTTTTTCAACCGACAGTGTTATGCCAAATATCTCCAATATGTCCCACTTGAGTGATTGTACATAAGGAAGATGAGCTTCATTTCCCAAGTGATATAATATACCAACGACCCAAATTTTGTTTAGACCTAATCCCTTATTAGAGAACTATGCAGTCACAAATGAAAGTAAGGAGTAAGGACCATTTCGTCGTCGAATAAAGTTTCTACTTTATAAGGATTTGGACTTTGCTCACGGGACCAAACTTATTAACTTACTAGTCAAACAAGTTAAGAGAACCAGATTGTTTTTGTTTAAATATATTTTTGTATCCCAAATGAAATGCTTCTAAAGGAGCAACCACAATGCACACGTGATCATCATAATTATCATATCACTCCATATCCTAAGAATTTGTTCTTAGACCACAACTTCAAACTTTGGAACTTATCTTTTCCCAATGTCCTATATTTCCTTTATTTTTGCAACCAAACCAAAAAAAAAATAATCATCCATTTTATTGAAGTAGAAGTAGTACTAAAAATGTTTGGGAAACCATGCACAATATCAGAGAATAATAATTTGAAGGGGGGAAAAAATACCTTTATGGGTGTAATATATTGAATTGTGCAATTATAAATAAGTCAAAAGAAGTAGTAGTATAGTGGACTATATACTATAGTAGACTAAAACCAAAATAAATGACTTCACGGTTGTTGTTGAGTCGATGATGCAAACGCATCGATTCATTTACTCTACACCAATCAGTAAAATGACGTCGACATTGCACATTCGAATCGGCTCTTAAACATTGCTATATTTACTCAAACAGATCTTTTTCTACTCAACTTTTGTAGAAATTGCCATATTTTGAAAAGGAAACAAAACAACAACAACAAAAAAAAAACCAAAGAGAAGAAGATGGACCCAAAAGTTTGAAGACAATAAAATAGGGTAATTGCACGTTCTGTTGCATTCAACCCCTTCTGACAAACATCATTTTATAAAAAAAATATCTTTTTTTTATCTCACTCACTCTCTATCGCTACTTCCACTCTCCAAGACATCCCACGCGCCGATCATTGAGCATTTGTTTGAGCTCTAGTGGTTTGGTTTCATTTAAACGTTTTGCAGTTAGGGGTTGGGTAAAGAAGAAGATTGGATTCGATTTGTTAAATGAGTCGACCCAAGTTTGCAGTGTTTGTGTGTGTGTGTACCTCTTTCTTACAAACCAACCAATACATGCTGCAGTCAACGATGCATTACCATCCCATTTATTTATTTCATTAACTCTCCTCAATATTGATTGCAAACTAAAACTGTTTGTACGGATGTGAGTGATGACTTACGAGTGCCTTTGTCTGTAAGGAATGGTTCTTAACATTTTTGGTCTGTTTTAGCATAATTTATTTAGTCTTTTGCATTAAAACACTCCCCAAAAAAAAGAAAAATATGTTATGATTAAACTGGCAAATGTACAATGCGCCATCTCAGTTTTGATCAAGTTAATCTAGAAAGTTTTTTACTACTGATTTTTTTTTTTTAACGTAACATCACTCAAATTTACATTCGGTAATTTTAGCGTATGTGTATTGTAGTGTAGACGATCATTTATTTATAAATTAATTAATTTTCTTCTATTTATCGTCTACACTATAATATACATAAACAAAATTTATAAAAAGAAATGTTTATGAAAATATAGTGAAATGGAGTTTGATTTTCAAGAAAAATCAGAATAACAGTTTTAGAAAACTGTTTCTAGTTGATTGTAGGATACATTAGTTAGCAATAAAAACTAATTTAAATCATCATGAAGTTGACATGTCACGTATCATATATGATTTATGTACATTACATATATATATGCTAAACCGATATTTTGGAGATATATATGTGGACATGTCTCCACAAAACACAACTTCTGAAAAATATATCCCCCACACCACATGGCCTGTGTGTTGGCTCGTGGGATCCCATTATTTTTCTTTCTTCCTCCTCTTTCTCTATTTTCGAAGTTGTTTTTATTCCTTTTGTTTTATAAGTATAATTTCAAGTGTGATTTGACCAAGAAATAATCAGCATCAAGTGGATGTTCTGCACACATAATAGCCAATACTAAATATTGATTAACCATGGCAAGAAGCTTATAAAACATTACACATCAAGTGTTGTGTTATTAGCCTTCAAAAGAAGATCATGGCCTTCACATTCGTTTGATCATTCATACATAGGGGTGAACTGAAACACCTTCTTTCCAACTTTCACATAATAGAAGCGACATTGTTGTAAGTAGATCACAAGTTACTAAACTGTTTTTGTCATATTGTGTCAAAACTCTTGGCACTCACTCTCTTCTTCCGTGCCCCACCACACACTACTGTCCTTTTTTGCTTTTGCTAAATCATTAAGAATGCACATAATAATAGTATCCCACAATTTGGATATCCATTACATTACATGCAATATGTCCTTCATTAACATTCTTCTTCTTTCCTTTACCATAAATCACGGTAGTAATCATGGATACATCACCTACTCTTTACACACTTTACAACCCACAATGTTGCACTTATTAAGGAGGATACAGAACATACAAATCAAAGGTTTTAGTTGAAGCACCAAAAGTTGAGATCTCTGGATTCTCAAGTTTGGAGAGTAGTTGTTAGAGTGAGAGGGTAGCAACTAGCAAGGACAAGAACATATTGACTTTTCAAACTCAAATCATAATCTCTCTTTCTTTTGTATATCTTTAGAGAGATTACACTTCTTGTCCTATATATTTATATATATATATATCATATCATATCATATTACATCATCTTGTGTGGTCCATCACATTACACATTAAAACTAGAGAAATGGTACAACAATCTTCCTTCTTTCTCTTCTTCTATCTCTTACATCAAATTTCCTGCATTATTTTTTACACCTCTGCATCTTTTTTGGTTATTAGGAGTCTCTATATTATCAGTCTTATAACTTCCCTCTGTTTTTCTCTTCCTACAAAACAAACACCAATAGAGTAAATGTTAACTTAACAAGACTGTTGTTGTGTGTTCCACCATCCATATTCATCTACACTCCTTTTTACCTGTTTGTTTATATCCCAACACGACAGGTCGGTCCACCCCTACCGGGTAACATACCAATCGGCTGTAACCTATTGAAGATTATTCATGAACGCACTGTTAGATTTTACCATTTGCTTGATAGCAGAAACTTAAAAGTGTGGTTGAATCTCAAAACCTTGGCATTTGGCAGTTGAAAGAGTTGAAGGACTCAGAGAGTGTGGAAGGAGTAGAATTATCGTCATTATCAGAAGAAGGTGACCATAAATCTGATCCATTATTGTCTGCAGAATCAGCAAACAGAAGCAAATGGTGGGCGGGGGACGCGAACGGACTGTCTGGCAAGCTATCCTCCAACCTGAAACAACCCCAAATGACTTGCTTATTCAACCTCACAGCTTCAAAAACACAATCAGTTTCCTTGCAGAAAAACTCATGTGTATAAAAAAACTACCTCTCTGGTAGATTCATTGTATCATCATCAGATCCTTCTTTGGAACTTCCTTTCCCTTTCTCTCCTCCTTCATGTTCTCTCTTGATCACGGACAATGGGCGTGGAGATATAAGTGACTGGCTGAAAGGGTTCGGTGAATGCATGTTTGTAGGTGAACTGAGTTGGAAATGCTTCTTGACATCAAGAAGCTGCAGATTCATCAGCCTTCTGCTCTGAAGCTCAAGAATTTCTTCTTCAAACTTACTCCTCCACAACACATCTTGGGTGTTGTTATAAAAAGCTCTCCCTCCTATACCACAACCAAATCAGTATGGCAGCCACAATATGGTTCTTCAGTATATCCAAATAAGAAAAGAGCTTAGTGTTTGTTTGTTTACCTAAAACATCCCTGGGGCTAGAATCAAGGCCTGTTGGGGACAAATCTCGATCTGTTGTTTGGTTAGTTCTACACAAACGGATAAAGAGAGGTAAACAAAAGGATTTAAGGAACAATCAGGCCTATGTATGAGAGTTACTACTACTAGTATAGTACCTGTATTTGTCAGGGACTTTGCCTTTCTCCTTGTAAGGCTTAACAAGAACTCTTGAATCACACACAAAGTGTGGGTTCCCTTTGGCGAGAATGCTCTTAACAGTCTCAGGATACACAAATGTCACAAATCCAAACATCCTCTTTTGCTGATATGGTATCCTCACATCTTGAACTGGTCCAAAAGTACTACACCCACCATAACAACATCTTATGTCACACAAGAACATACATTCAGACCAAAGAGAAGTTGAATGTGTTTTGTTGGCAATTACCTGAAGTAATTGGACACATCTTCCTCCCTGAACCTACTGTCGGCAGGAAATGTCAGATAGATCTGTCTCGAAGCTGGACAAGCCATAGCAGAAAGATCAATCCTTTCAGGTCTCCACCTTCCAAGCTTCTGCAGTTCATCTCCTAACATCAAAGCAGCAGCAGCTCTGGCCAGAATATTTACACAACAAGTTAAAAAAAATACACACACACACACACTTCAAATATAACTGAAAAAAAACAAAAACAGGTAAATAAAGGTCAAACCTTTGAGCATCGCTCTGCTGCAAGTTTACACCTTTTGGAGAGAAAGAGGGAAGAGAAGAACGAGTCATGAAGTGGTGAGCGAGTCTTGGAGGTACCGAGTTAGACCTGAGAAGCTCGATTCTGCTTGGAGAGCCAACCAGTTCAGCTCCTCCATCACTGTGTACGAATCTGCAGCTAGCTCCGTTTTTGCAGAAGCCTCTAGCGAAATAAGAACAGGGCACACCTCCAAACCCTAAGTCAGAGTCAGCGTAGCCTAAACCGTCCAAAACGCAGCTACCGCTTCTCGCATGCACAGAGCCCAAAAAATCAGTTCTCGGGTTAACATCATCCAAAAGCTCGAAGTCGCTGGTTAAATCCCTAGAAGATCTTCCTCCATTAGCGTAAAAGGGCAAAGAAGCTGGATTGAGAGAAGAGCCACGGTTGTTCTTAGGGCTGATTAACTCGTCTTGATGACTCCAGGGAGACCTGGAACCGTTCATGAGACCTAACTCTTTCTTGGCTTTCAGTATGACAGAGTGAACAAGCGTCTCGGGACCAAAAGCTAGCCTTATCATCTCCTTTTCACCGTGATCTTGAAGAAGGAGAAGACCCATGATCTTTGATGCGTTTTCTGGGTCTAAGCTTTGGATTCTAGAGAGTACAATCCTAGTAGCTTCATACCCATCCATGGCTTTTTCTCTCTATCTCTCTCTCTCTCTTGAATTAAGAGTAATTAGAGTAGAGAGAAGAAGGAAGGAAGAGAAGGGAAGAGAGTGGTGTTTTTGTAGAGAGAGTGTTTGTTGTCTTGTGTACAGAGAGGTTGTTGTCGTTAAGAGGTCTCTCTGGTTTTTTGTGTTGGATTTTAGTCTAATGGGTTTTACAAAGTTTACGTTTTTTTTTTTTTTTTCTTGGGGTTGGGATATCTTTAACTACAACAAATTCTCAAATCCTATCTACACTTACACTAACCTTAACTTAAAAAAATTCATCATAGATTCCTGCGAAACACCAGTAAATAACAAAAGTTTTAAAGAAGAAAATAGTATAAAAAGTTTACTACTACTACTACTACAATATTTTGTTTGTTTTCCTCTCGCGTGCTTATAAGAAGAAGAAAGGTTAAAAAACTTTGCACTTTAAGAAAAAGAGTTGGAGAAGAAAAAGGAAAGGTTAAAACTTTTTATAGGAAAAAAAGAAGAAAGAAAAAAAGGAAAGTTTTTGCATGCCGAAATTTTTACATTTGATTGAGGGAAATAAAGAAAATAAAAACGGTAAATATTATATTTTTTTTACCTGAAAAAAAAAAGTCAAAAGGATGGACGACACTTGAAGAAGAATCTCCTGTGGAGAGAACATTATTATTAAGCAGAGCAGCAGTAAGAAGAGTGAAATTTTGATTTAGGCTGCAGGTGTGGTGAGAGACTGACCGTTACTGCTCCTTTTTTGGGGAATTAGATGAAAGAAGAAGAAGTAGAAGAGAAGATGTCATCATCAAACATTATTATAGATTCTTCTTTCTATCATTCAAGAAAATATGTTTTAGAGAAAAGAGAAGAAGTACGTACTTATAATTCTATGTTCTGTCCAGTGGATCCTGAGTAAAACTGAGTTATATAAATAAGAGATATGTATATATCTTCCGGATATGGGATCTCTGTGTTTGTTGTTTGGATCAGGAGAAAAAAAAAAAAAAAAACACTCTGGTCAAGAAGAACAAGAGAGAGAGAAAGAGAAAGAGAAAGAGAGACACAGAGATAAAAGAGATTGTGTAATAAAACTGTTTTTATAAATTAATCAAGAATTAAAAAAAAGAAAAGAAAAAGATGGATGCATTGCACGTTCTTCTGACACAAACCCCAATTATATTTTTATTTTTTTGTTGTTCATTCGGACACTGAAGAAGAAGAAGCAGCTTCACGCGCCTTCGGGTGGGATGTGTAATAACACGCGCCGGTGATTGATAAAAATAAAAATAAAAAATATGCAGCCCAGCTGTATCGCTGGACGCTGGGGTCTCCCACTCTCTTCTATACTGTCCCTTTCTCAATTTCATCATTATTATTATTTCTTTCTTTCTTTATTTTTTTTGGGGTAGGGACACTTTTTTAAGTATACATAATAATATATAACTAAAAGCTTTTGTGTTTCAAATTTTTAAAAATGAAATAAAACACCTTGTTTCTTTTTCTTCAACTTGTTCATTTAAATTTGATTATTTAAAAAAAACAAAAAAAACGGCTTAATTGAGTAATTACGGAAAACATAAAAAGTACTATGTCATAGACACTTATATATCCAGAAATTGTTGTCACTTGTTCCATAGCTTAATTCTCTGCTTTTTATCTAATTTAGTTTGGTGAGAGACACTTCAATTTTTATAGTTAGTTAGTAGAGTACTGTTTTTTTTTTTTTTTGCAGCACTTATGGTTTAACATATTTGATTCAATCATTATTGCATGCTTCATTGAATCAACATGAAATTAAATTAAAACCATGTCATGATTAATAATATCTGTCATACTAAATAAATTTATCTCATGGCATGTGTTGACCAATTCCATCATAGTATGAAGCAATGAAGAAAACTCACATATTTATATATGTATTATGGACTATATATTAAAAGGAATAATCTTACGCACGTAGTTTTTTTATAAAAAATATATTCAAAAAATACTATATTGTATACATGAGACAGGGGGTAGGATTAAAGATGAAAAGACATGATTGTTCTAAATTAATGTAGGGTAAAAAGAAACGAATTATTGTTTTTAATTTTTAAAAAATTTGAAAGGACCTTTTTGTAAAAGAAGAATGACCCACAATGAAAAAGAAAAGCAGTTTTTCTAATGCTTTTTATAATAGTTTTTTTTTTATGAGGGTGTCAAGAAAAAAAAGCAGTGGTCTAAGTCTAGTCACAGGAGCCGAGGCACCTAACACCTCACTCGATGATTATGATATGTATATGTGTGTGTGTTTTTTTCAAATATTATAAAGTCTTGGCTTATTAAAATCTAACATTGCGGCCTTATCATTGATTGACCATCCATCCATCCATAATAGTATATTTTTTTGATACGATTGTAAAATTTTACTACATGGGAGAAATGATTACTATGCACAAATGTTTTGAAGCAAAATCGAAATAAAACTTCAATGATTGGGGCATGTATGTGTGTATAATGTATGTGTGAAAATATGATAAAACACATGTATGTGTGATGCATCGCATACCTTATCTATAATTGGTTTTTGGGTTTTTCATCATACCCACATATTGAGAATCTATAAATGGACCCCCAAAGATCTTTCTCTAAGCCCACAATCATCATCATACATACATGATACAACCACAATCCTCCCCTCCCCCTCCTCTTCATTTCAAATCAATTTCACATCAATATGTTTTTTGTACCCTTAAAGTAGACCATATGTGGGAATACGTTACAATCTGTGTACATGTTTCACTATGTTTAATTTGATTCCAACCTATACGCCCCTAGTTAAAATTCCCATATGTAGACACAATACCACAATCAGTAAAAGAGCTTAGTGAGAGAATGGTGGTGAATGGGCAACAAAGGAGTGCATCGCAGCATCATGAAGTGTTTAGCCTTCCTCGCACTCCACTCTTGCCGCTTCACATATTATATTACTTGTTGCTACACTGCATCCATCTGTGTGTGATTTACATTTTGTGTTAGCATTATTCGACTTAAGTCAAAAAACACTTCAAAGTCCAATGGGATATAAATAAGTTTAACTCAATCTCATAATAACACAGAACATTTTATCAATTTCTCAAGTTGTTACATCTAAAGAAAATACTAATTCATTTCTAAAAAGTTTTGTTGTTTTTATCGTTTTGTATTATTCAGGAAAAGAAACGTTTAACTCAAGTGTTTTAGCGATTCTACCATACCAATCATCACCGGGCTCACCGCTCTTATTTATTTTCTTCCTAGGAGAATATTTTATGTATTAAACTTATCAGAATGTTGATAACCAAGTTTCATCTAGTAAAACCAAATATAGTGAGGAGACATCACCTTCTTTGAACACAAGACCAGAACCGAAGCAATGCTTCTGATTCGAGAAACCACCAAGTTCACCATCAATCTTCCCCTGCATCTCTACCAGAAGAGTCCGGAGTCTGATGACTTCGGTTTCAACCGTTGCTTGGCTCTGAAGCTTCCTATGCAAATGTTCATTCAGAGTTTGCAATCTCTTCACTTCGTCTTCAAGGTACGCAGTGCGAGCCTTTTTCTTCTCCCTGTACTTCCTCACTGCCTCTCTGTTCCCACACGACCGTTTCTTGTTGCTGCTGTCAGAATGATCATTCTCTTGCTGGTCCTGTTGCAATATAAACACTCATATTTTTCTATAACAAACCATTCAAATCATCAGAAACCATATCAAATATTAGGCAAAGATATGTATTATACAGGGATGATGAGATGAGTATGAGTGTGGAAGCATGTGTGGGAGTGAGAAGCATCATCTGGGCCTGGAGGGTTACAGCTGTGAGTGTGGCTACATCCTCTCGATGCTCCATCCCAAACTTGTACTTCTTCCTCATCCATATTCATCTTTTTATTCTAAAATTCTAGATTGCCAAAGAAAACACCTCTTCTATTCAAAATTGTGATAATTGGAGTTATGGTAATATTATCAATGTTAAAGGGATATGATGGTGTTGAAGAATATGTTCTTGATTAACATAGTTGATGAATCCAACAGTAGTCAACTCTTTAAAATATTTGACATGGCTCAAGGAAGAAAAAAATCTTACAGAGAGAATCAAAGTTAGAAACTTGTTGTCTCGTCTTCTGAAATCCTTGCAAGATGAAAGAAGCAAATTCAAAGATAGATATAGGATTTGTGTGATTTTGAGATTACAGGAAAGGTTGAGCAGAGCCGATGATGATTTTACTTGGCCTTAGAAACGGTCTTTATGACGAGAAATTACGATTGGAATAAACCATACCGGGATAGGCATAAGCCATTTTACCATATCTCCAATGAATAATATTAAAGAAAAGAAAAGAGAATTGGTTCTTTAATGTCAAATTGTTTTCGAATAGAAAAAAAAGAAAGAAATGAAGATTTTTTCTCATGTGATTTTATTTAAGTAATCACACGTCTTTATCATAAATTAATCGACGGCACGTTTTCTCGTGTCAGTTTTTTTTTTTCTCGTGTCAGTTTTGGTACTGATCATCTTCTTCTTCAATCCCGAGAGACTTGAATTCAAGAAGCAAAAACATGGTGAGCTTCTTCAAGGCATGGGGTGTAGTGATCCTCTCACTGTGTTACACTTTTTTGATTGGCAAATTGCTTCCAAAAGGAATCAAAAGGCTGATTCTGATCATCCCTGTTTTCTTCATCTTCTTCATTCTTCCTTTCTTGATGATTCCTTCCGTGCACTTACTCGGCGTCACGGCTTTCTTCATCGCCTGGCTCGCAAATTTTAAGCTCTTTCTCTTTGCATTAGGACGCGGTCCTCTCTCTTCGAATCCTAAACCCCTATCTTTACCTGTTTTCTTAGCTGTCTCTTCTTTGCCCATCAAGATTCAGCTAAAGTCTAAACCTTTAAAATCTCGCTCCCATGAAGGATCCAGAGAGGGTCCTCTGATTTATACCATTAAGGCTGTTATTTTGGTTATTCTCATCAAAGTCTACGATTACAGCAGCAAACTTCCCGACAAAGTCCTATTGATTCTTTACGCGATCCACATCTATTTCACCCTCGAGCTCATCCTAGCTGCCATGGCTGCTGTGGTTCGAGCCATGTCCGATCTTGAGCTTGAGCCACAGTTCAACAAGCCATACCTCGCAACATCACTACAAGATTTCTGGGGGAGACGATGGAACCTAATGGTCACGGGGATCCTACGACCAACAGTGTATGAACCCATGGTCCAGCTGTTCTCCATCTTGGGCCGGAACTGGTCCAAGGTTCCTGCCATTTTCGGGACGTTCGTTGTCTCGGGGATAATGCACGAGCTCATCTTCTTCTACATGGGACGGTTGAGACCAGATTGGAAGGTAATGTGGTTCTTCCTTATAAACGGATTTTGCACGACTGTGGAGATTATCATCAAGAAAGCTATAAACGGAAGGTGGAAACTCCAAACAGCAGTCAGTCAGTTCTTGACACTCGGGTTTGTGATAGTGACAGCTTTGTGGCTGTTCTTGCCAGAGTTTGAACGGTGCAAGATAGCTGATAGGGCTCTTGAAGAGTACAAATCCATAGGCGCGGTAGTATCTGAGATTATGAGCATGACTGCTTCTCTTTTTTAAACTTGCCAAAATCCTGAGTGATCTCTATTGTGACTTTTTTTTTTCCCTAACACTACAGTATGTAAGTTTCTGCAACTCAACTCCTTCATTTACATGGAACAGAAATCAAGCAAGTAGTGGAAGTTTATAATACTATACATAAAAGAAAAACCTTGCAAACACTATATGAAACTAGACGACGGGAAGAAAACTCTCTAGTAGAGGCAATAACATGCAAAATAAAAAAAAAATAAAAAAAAAATAAAATAACATGCAAAATCGATCAGCAAGATCCGCCTAAGTAACACATGTTTAACTCTATCTAAGACAGTTAGATTTGTCTACAACTCCTACAGCTAAAGCTTTTCCCACCAGAAATTAACGCACAGGGAGTTGCTTTCTTACTGGTCATGGTTCATAAAACTCCAAGCTTTTGGCGGAAGATCAGTTCCACTTCACCACGAAGGCTCTCCACATCTGCAGCATAGTCTCTCTTGTATTCATCCGCCATTGATTCCTCCAGCTGCAGCTTCATTCTCTCTAATGCTCCTTCCAACCCACAGAACTCTTTGAGAATTTGAGGCTCTATGAATTTGAGTTGAAGAAGAGTCTGGATTGCTGTAAGAGCCTGAAACATGTTTTCCGAGTAGGATATGTGAGAAGGAGATGTATGCCAAGATTCCTAGAGGAACAAAAGGTCATGGGGACCTGTTAGATTTCTACCTTTTCTTGGAGATCAAGGTCAAAGACAGCGATCAAATCGATCACAGACTTTAGGAACAGACGATCATTGAAAATAGGAAGTTCAGCTTTCTCTCTGTTCTGTAGTTGAGACTCGGCTAAATCACCCACTAAGAATACAGCTTTCCGTCTTAGATTGATATCCAAACTCACATTCCGCATCACATCCTACAGAATGAAGAAACGTTTTTTGAATCAGAGAAATGATGAACAAAACTTGATATGATGTATGTCTTGTGTACTCACCTGAAGCATGATGTATCCTTGTGCTGCATAAAACTTGTCCTGCCCAGCTATATTATTCCGTATTAAGGCAGAAACAGCAAAGAGTGCTTTACCAGCTTCTTCGACAGAGCTAGAGTTTACCATCTTTATCAGTGTTGCTAAAGCCCCAAGTTCAAGAACCTAATACCACAAATTCACAGACCAAGAAAAATGATTTGGGTCAGACGGCTTATACTTCTACCAACGGTTCTGCTCTACAAGTCCAACGACAACAAACCTGCTCTTGAACAAATGGGTTGTTTTGGCTAGCTTTCCCGAGCACCCACGCAGCTAATTTTCTGACTTCTGTGTCATCATGATTAAGCTCTCCTGCGACAACTCTAAGCCCTCCTGATTTGCTCAAATCTACACAAGAGGAAAATGATGAGAAACTCAACGGACAACAATAATTGATCAGGACTCATGTAAAACTGTAACCAGGAGATGCACCAGAACACAATTCCTGGGAAGTAATAACAAATATATGAGATTCAATAACGAGTTTTTGTTTTTTGAAAAAGGAATCAATAACTTGTTAAGGATTCCAATTACCATTTGCATTATCAATCGGTTCAACCAGGATTAATAGTTCCTGTAAAGCACGGTGACGATCTTCAAGAGACAAGGACGAATTTTTCAAGTCATCAATGGCTATTTGCATCAACCTCGCGTCTGATGGCATTTTCAGCTTCTCCACAAGCTCCTGCTCAAGAGTACTAGTTTCAGATGGGATCCCAGTAAAAAAAACAGAAATTATAAAAACCAGAGCCAGAAAGTCCACACCTTTAACTCCAATTGACGCTGCTGTAACTCATCCAGAGTCATCTTCTCTGCATCTTTAGCTGCTTCCTTCAATGTCGCAGGATCCGAGTGACCTATAACCGGACAAATCAGATCTAGACAAAACACAACAAAAAGTAAAGAAGAAGAAGAAGAACACTGAGGAAGATAATTTACCAATTGCCCAGTGTAACATTCCATCAAATGAGGAGAATCCACCTTCGAGTTGATCTTGCTCGCCGATCACAGCACCGGAATCTTCAACCAATTCAGCCTCATCTCTCGCAGTAGACCAAACCATACCCCCAGAGGAATTCACTTTCTCAGCGATCGAAAAACCCACCAATGAGACCACCACCAATAATAACATACATCGGAGATAGCTAATCGTCGACATCTTAGTCGTCCCGGCGTTAGACTTTAATCAGTAAAACAAAGGTTTAAGGTTTTGCCTTGTTTCAGCTTTTTATACGAAAACAAAAAACTAATTACTCCTTAACAACGTGTCCAGCCAATAAATATTTTACACGTCATCTCATCCATCGTCACCTTCCATCGCGCGAAACTATTAAAAATGCCACGTGGCCATTAGATCCAGCCGACTAATCTCTCTACTTGAACTAACATAAAACTAGATTAAAACGGGGGTGCAAATTGATCAATTTATTAGTTTTGGTATTAACTAGACTGATAATAAACAAGAGGGGCGATTCACGAATAATTAGGATACGGCATATTTAATAGAACAAAATAAGAGTCATGACCCCTCCACTTCTTTGAGTCCAATCAAATGGTCCTTTAATTAACAAAAATGAATTCTTACGCCATTAAGCTCCCACACCTTTCCCTTTTACTTTCTTCTTCTTCTTCTTCTTCTTCTTCAACCTTGTTCTCTCAACTCAATGGGTTATCTCTCCTGCAAAGCCGGATCCGCCGTCGCAATCGCCGTATCTTCTTCCGCATCAACCTCCAGCAAAGCTTCTGCTCCTCCCGAATCTCCCACCGAAGAAGACCGCCCCAGGCTTCGTCGTTTCCTCCATCGCGATCTCGAATCAGCCACAGGAGGATTCGACATCAACAATCTCCTCGGCCGTGGTAGCCATGGAAGCGTTTACAAAGCGGTCATCGGTTCGCGCCTCGTCGCCGTCAAGAGACCTTCGAAATCTCGCGAAATCAGCCGCGAGTTCCACAACGAGTTCGAGATTCTCTCCAGGATCCGTAGCCCTAGGTTCGTGAATCTCTTAGGTTTTAGCGCCGATAACTCCAAAGATCCGCTTCTCGTTGTTGAGTTTATGGGGAACGGAAGCTTATACGAAGTGATTCACTCCGATTCCGTTTTGAATTCCGTTGCGATCTCAAGCTGGAGCAAGAGAATCAAAATCTCTCTTCAGATAGCGAAAGCCGTACATCTCCTACATTCCCAGGAGCCACCGATCATACACAGAGATATCAAATCAGCAAATGTACTGATGGATAAGAACCTAAACGCGAAGCTAGGCGATTTTGGATTAGCGATCAGATGCAATGTGGACGATCAGAAAGTGAAATCAACACCACCTGCAGGAACAATGGGGTACTTAGATCCAGATTACGTTACGGCTGATAGATTAAGCACTAAAACAGATGTGTTCAGCTTTGGGATATTGTTGTTAGAGATAATCAGCGGGAGGAAAGCAATCGACGTAAGATACTCGCCGTCGTTTATAGTAGATTGGGCGATTCCGATGATAAAAAGAGGCAAAATCGGTGGGATTTATGATCCGAGAATCGGACCACCGGTGGATGTGAGCGTGAGGAATCATCTGGGGTTGGTGGCGGCTAAGTGTGTGAGAACGTGCAGAGAGAAAAGGCCCGGGATGGAGGAAGTGGTTGGGTGGCTCACGGGGTTGACTAAGTCGGTTAAGTCACGACGGTGGGATGAGTTAAGCATTGGAAACCCGTGTATGATGGTCGAGACGGTTGGTCGACCCGTGGAATGATTCTTTTTCTTTCAAGTGCTTTGCTTTGAAGCCATTTTTTTTTTTTTTTTTTTGTGGTTTGGTCAATTTATTCATTTAACATCTATATATTGTATTTGATGATTAGAATCTGAAAATTTGCCTTGTACAATTGCTATGTAAACATAGGGGACACCGTAAAACCTGGAAGCAAGAGTCATGAATCACTAGATTGCATGGGAAACATAAAAGCATGACTACAAAAGATAGATAGATACAAAAGCGTCGACGTTATAGGTGAATGATTCTTGAGGCTTCTCATCTTGACATAATGACATGACCACTCTCATCGTGCTGACACAAGTTTCTGAGTTCGGCGAGGAATCTGACTTCATTTTCACCAACAAGCACATCTATAACGTGTTCTGTTTGTTTCACCTTGACTCTTGAGTCTTGAGAGTTGAGACGATCGACTCCAAAATAAATAACTCTGTTTTAGACAACAACAATATAGAATAATAGAGTTGGAAAGAGGTAATATTCTCTAAATAGTTCGTGTATTGTAGCCTATGTGCATGAATGATAATCTCTCAAGTATTTTCCCGAAGTTTTCATCATTGAAGTCACCAATTCTACACTAATGATCTTCCTCCAAAAACACATATTCTCGAGATTGTCACACATACTCTTCGTTTAAGAATGTAATGAGATTACCATGTCCACAAGACATGCATATGAACATATCACTGATCCAATAACATACTAAAGTCTTGCTGTATTTTTTTAGAAGACTATATTAGAAGAACCCAATATACGCCTTGAATGGCATCTGATTTTAAATGAATTTTTGGCTTTTTATTCTGCAAAATCCATTTTATTAGCCATTCATGATTTTTAAAAATATAGATTCGCTGAAAATTAAGAAATAGATTTTAGAAGATTTTGTTAATTCTTTCTTAAGATCCAAAAACCACAAAATGTGGTTTTTATTTTTGTGAACGTGAACTGATATTTTTTCTCATTTCTCATTTTTCATTTTTTTTTTAATTACAAAATCTGTAAATCAAAAACCAAAAACCATAATCCAAAATCCAAAAACCACCCAAAATCTTTGAAACATTCATGGCCATAGAGTTTTTAAAATCATGACAGCTAAGAATTGAGATCGGTTAATTTCGGTTCAGTTGAATTTCTGTTTGATTTTGTTTTACAACCGGTTAAGAGGTCTTAACAAGCAGGAAGCGCGAGAAAGAAAGAAGATCAATGTCGACGATAACAGAGACCGGCGGCGAGTCGTCGGCGAGAAAGATGAGACGTAGAATAAATCCAACGTCGATCGAATTTCTAGACGCCGACATACTATGCATCATCTTCTCTTTCCTTGACTTGTTTGATCTCGTTCACTGTACCGTCGTCTGCAATTCCTGGTACTCCCTCCAATCCAATCCAATCCCTAACTTATTTGTTTTTTTTTTTTCTTTTTCTATAAGCTGCTGCAGTTCAGTGTTGACCCTTTTTCGAATTGTTCTGTTATTGATATTGAGGTATGCTGTAATCAAGAGGCTGAAGCTGCTGCAAGCTTCATGCCGGAAGATGCACCAGCTCGGTTCTGACTTCCCCAGCAGTTCCACTTCAGCAGCTGAGATAGACGTGGAGGATTTCGCGATGAAACATCATAAGATGGCTTTATTAAGGGGTCGAATCGGAATTGAGCGATGGGAAGCTCATTCACACCGGTGAGGCAATTTTCCCCATTTCTTTTGTTTGTGTGTGTGGACTGTGCCATGTTTCTAATGATTTCTCTATGTCCAGGGTTTCTCAGTGTCGAATGAAGAAGGGTTTGCTTCTTACTGGTGTTGGTGATAAGGTTTGGATTTTTGGTATACAATTCGATTAGATATTGTATTGTCCTCTGTTTGTTATTTAATTAGTACTGGCTTAAGGTAATCTGACTACTGTACCAGGTTATGCGACTCTGGTCATTAAAAAGCTACAAATGCATGGAAGAATACTCCCTTCCTGATGCTGCTTCCTTGATCGACTTTGATTTTGATGAGAGTAAGGTAAACCTCTAAAAGGTCATCGATGTTTAATTTACATTCACGAAAAATGTTACATTGATTAAACTGGAAATGAGTTAAACAATGGATGTTTTCATGTTACCCGTTGGGCTCGCTAGATCTCTAGAATTGGCCACTCTTGTAACTGGATGTTTTGAAATCTTGTAAAGTGAGAAAACCAAATTATCTCGAGCAAGGGCATTATTCCTAACTTTTTTTTTCTTTGTTCTTTTGTTTGGAGATTGTTGGCTTAGTTGGTACCCGCATTAGCATATGGAGAAGAAGCGGGCAAAGAAGCATTTTTCCATCACGTGAAGGAACAATTCCTAAAGGCCTTTGTATGCGGTATGTCAAAAGATACTCATGAAATATCAAGTTCTTGAGAACCTTCCCCTGTTTCTTGAAACTTAAGCTCATTTTGCTAGAAGGACCAACTGATATTCCATGTTACCTGATAATAATGACTTGGCTACTAGCCACTATAAGGCTGGCTTCCTTAACCACACTGATACAGATTTCTGATTTCTTTATCAACCAGTTACATTGACCCAGAAGCTGTAGTTGGATGTGAGGATGGAACAGCTCGTGTATTTGATATGTATAGTAAGACATGTTCGCAGATCATTAGGTAAGCTTACTGATTCGATTCTGTCTTTATTATGGTTTAGAACTCCTGAGAGTGATACTTGAAAATATTTGTTATCGTGTTGATCGTTGTTTACAACTTCATATGAGAACCTTATTTGTCAACTATCTAATTGCAGGACTCACGGTGGGCCAATAACGTGTTTGTCTTTGAGTGAGAACCAAAGATTTCTTAGTGGGTCTTCACTCGGGAGAGTAACAGTATCTGACCCTTTAATGGATCAACCAGTGGCTACCCTTAAATCCACGATAACTGCAGGAGGTAAACTCAAACTCCATTTCAGATTGCATCACCAGTGAAATTTCCTAAAGCAACCTCCCTTCTCCGCAGGTATACAGACCATCTGTTTTAACCAAGGCACTAATCTGGCCTTCACTGGAACAACTGGTGGATATGTTTCATGCTGGGACCTCAGGTATGTTAAAATATGGATGTCTGAGTTTGTTCCAAAGATGCAAGTTTCGAAATGTGTTATACCAAACGTTGAGATGTTATATAACCAATCTTTATTACAGGAAAATGGGACGGTTGTGGGAAAAACGAGTGAGTCCTAATGTGGTGTACTCGATACAACAGCTGCAAAATGATTCATCGGTTATGGTTGCTGGTGGAATAGATGGTGTGCTGCGAGTGATAGATCAGAAGAGTGGAAGAGTTCTATCTGGATATATAATGGACGATAAGGCCTCAACAACATCGAGAAGGGACAACCAACCTGTGATTGAGAAAAGGAGAGGAAAAAGAGTTTTTCAAGATATCGAAATCGATAAAATCGAAAGAAAAGTCCGGCCTCAAATCAGTTGCTTAGCAGTGGGGATGAAGAAGATAGTAACAGCTCACAGTGGCAAAATTATAAGTGTATGGAAATTCAATATCTAGATGAAATCATAAGAATTGCTTGTATGAAACAAAATTGGTGATAACAATAGCATTATAATTGATTGAATAGTGAGGATTACAAAAGTTTGAAACACTGGAAACGAAAACACAAGAAAAGCAAAATTGTTTGTTGTCATCTATTTGGCTGATTTTTTGGATGGCTCAGCTTGAGATTCAGCCTTGATAATGTTAAGTTGACCACCTTCTTTGCAAGCTGCATTAGCTGCTTTCACTTCATTGCAATGGTTTATGAATTTGGTAAGCTCCTGCTCCATTCAACACAAACACAATTAATCAATAAACCATAACTTTTACAAATCGATTCAGATTAAGGGAGAGTGAAGAATAGAAGAAATTACCCGATCAGTGTCCATCTCTTTCGTTGATTTTGATGGTTTCACATTTCTCTTCCCTGGAAGAGGGAGAAGATGATAAGTACAAAGGGATTCATTTGTAAGCAATAATTTAGAAAAAGAAGAAAAAGCAAAGGACCTTTGCGAGTTTGAATGGATTTGCCATGGCGATTAGGGGCAATAGCCTTCCTCTTCTGCTGACCCTTGAACTGATTGCTCTTCTGCGTCATCGTTGATCGTCGTTTCTAGGGTTTTCTCTTCCGTCCAAGGGTTTTTGTTGGTTCATAGATGAAGACGAAGAAGACTATATAATGGGCTCTTAAGGCCTATATTCGTATGGGCTCATATTTGGGCCCAATTTTGGAGAGTTCTAAATTCGACGACACTGCGAAATGTTTTGGGAGGCAGTAGATTCTGTTCGAGGAAAACACGGAGTCATAGAAAGCGGTAAAATCCTCAATTCTTCTTCTTCTTCTTCTTCTTCCTTGTAGAAACCCTTTTCTCACTTTTGGAAGGTTCCTTCACATTCTAGATTCTCGGTTCTTCGGATTTCGTTTCTGATTTTGTTGATTGTGATTGTGTCTCTGCTCAGGTTTCATGACAGTGTTTTCAGTGACGTCATGACGCTGCATCTGTATCATCACTCCCGTTTGCTATGGAGAAATCTCTGTTTTCCTCGGAGAGTTGGGGTTTTCTGTAATCGGAACTGTTCTCTCATCTCTCCTTCCCTTCCACGCTCTGCGAAGGTGATTCTTCTATCGCGTCGATTAAGTCACTTGAATTTTTTTTCCGCTGTGTTTTTGCTATTGCTATGTGTCTACATTTGAATTATTGAGCTGATTAGTGTAAGATTTGGTGGATAGTGTGTTATCGTTACGTAATATTCTGTATTTCTGAATCAAATCGACTTCTGTTAACTCGAAAATGATCTCGAGGTTATAGTTTTTATTTTCTCTTTGCTAATGTTGATACCTACATATGTGGTAATCAGTACTATTGCAGTTCAGCATGTAATTTGGAGGCAGCAGTTTCTGAATTCTCTAATGAGGCAGCTAGTCGCAGTATATTGGCTTCTTCGAAAAGTGAAGATGGTGCGCCAGAGTTGATAACAAATTCCTTAAAGTCAGAAGAAAGAGCTGCAACTTCTGCTGCTTCTTCAAATGGCAGAGTGATGCTTATTGATGGGACATCCATTATATACAGGGCTTATTATAAGCTTTTAGGTATTGCTACTCATGTTTACTTACAATGTTAAGTTTTCCCTCGAGTCTCACACTTACTGATGTTGGGTTGGGCAATGTGCAGCAAGATTGAAACATGGTCATATGACTCATGCTGCTGGAAACGCGGACTGGGTTTTAACAATATTTTCATCTCTTTCTCTTGTAAGTGAAATATTTCATACTGTGCTCCAGATGTTCATTTATATTGTACTTAGTCTGATGATTGAGGAAAGCTTCTTTTAGCAGTTACGATGGCTGATCAAGTAATCATGGTTGCATATAATTGTGTTTCTTAAGGCTAAAATTTCTCTTTCTTGTTTCCTGTTATAAAATTTCTTACCTTATTTTCTTTCATTATCTTCTCATTTGCAGCTAATTGATGTTTTGAAATTTCTCCCATCTCATGTGGCGGTATATTCTTATTTCCATCGAAAATCTCATTTCTATATATCTGTGATAGTCGAATGAAGCTCTTGTAGTTTTCTTAATGGTGGATAGCCCCTGCTGACTTAATTGTGTTCATGCAGGTGGTGTTCGACCATGATGGTGAGTGCTAATGCAAGCAGACTATGAGTCTGCCATAACTTGTGAAATTCGTGGACTACTATTTATTTTCTGTAGTGGGGTAGGAAGAATTCAGGTTTTTGGGGACCTTTTGTGTATATAGTTAACCACTTTGAGTGTGCCTGTCAGATGATTTAATCAAATTCATTGATAGGCCCTTAATATAGTTCTAATTATAATTCAAATCAATAGTTATGGCCTATGTACTTCCTGATTTTAATTACTCAAGTATGTGAATGCTTGCCCCTTATCAATTGATGCTGATTGTTCCGCTAGCCATCTATAGATTTGATTTTCATTATCTCGTACAGATGAATAGATTATAAATGTGTTCAGCTCGATTAATGTTGTGGCCCAAAAACTACTTTGGTGAGTTCTGATATTTTTAACTTCATTTTTCTTAGTGAATGGATAGAAGTTTAAGATTTCAACTTCTGGCCATTGCTGAAAACTTGTATTCTATAGGTCTAGGAGTAAGCAAGTGGAGGTCTAGATGGTGATATGACCAAAAATTAATCACTTGATGTTGATAATCATTGCTGTATTATTTATAGCTATAGGATATTCTAAAGTTATCTAGAAAGCCTTCTAGTAATGCATGATAGGGGTAATCTGAAAAATATCATCCAGATATGTGAAGCAAGAAGATTAAATGGTTCCTGGACCTGTAAGTCTATAGTTTACTCGTTTTTAACAATATAGAGCCTTTTTTCAGGAGTTCCTTATGGCACTACTTCTAATTCATCTACAGGTTCTCGTTCTGCTAAAGGTAAGCTCGATTTTCTTAGTCAAACTATTGTTGATCAGTTAAAAAAATAAGAAATGGTTATTTTTGCATGAGAGTTTAGTTAGTATGCTGACTCATGGTGATGAATGTGATTATCAATCTATGAGGATCTCAAATGCGCTATATCAGCCTTGAGTATATGGCTTCTATAAACTTATTTTCTGCTGTGTACCTAGCAGAGTTATTCCAAATATTATGGCTTACTTGCCAAGGGTGACATCTGAAGTGATATGCCAGCTTTGTCTACCTTTGGGTGATTTTCTTGCAGCTTTTGGGTAGTCATTAACTTAGGTGTAGTCGTGTAGAGAGTAGAGGGTCAGTCATATGCGCTTCTGTTGCGGTCTTTGGCTTTATATAAACTAAAAATTAGGTCATCTCCAATGATAAGCGTCCAGTATTCTGCTGTCTTTTGTTAATACTGTTCAGTACATGCTGACATAGATATGCATATCCAATACTCTCTTTCTTTCTACGTGATGGGAACACCTGGCTTCTCATAATTATGAAATGAAGGCTTTTTTGCTCATTTAATCTCGACATGGCTTCTCCCTTTCCTTATTGCAGAGTATGAAGGATATTTTATATGTAATCTCATCAATATCCTGTCTTTGTTCTGTGTTAAAAATTTACAGGCATGAACTTCCGTCATACTCTCTACCCTGCCTATAAAAGTAATCGTCCTTCCACTCCTGATACCATAGTAGAAGGACTTCAATATCTCAAAGCGTCCATCAAGGCAATGTCTATTAAGGTTATAGAGGTAATTAAAATTTAATACTCATGATTGCCTTATTTCCTTTTATTGTGATGATATCTCACTAATGGGCAGAAATTCCATGAAGACAGGTGCCAGGTGTAGAAGCTGATGATGTTATTGGAACATTGGCTATGCGAAGCATTAGTGCCGGTTTCAAAGTACTCATTTTCAGTTATTCGAGAATTGTTTACTGCTTACTTAATGCTCAGGGCCTGTTCAATTTGTCCCTTTCCTAGAAGCGGACTGAATTACTGATCATATTGTTGTTATCCCCTTACAGGTCCGAGTTGTCTCTCCGGACAAAGACTTCTTTCAGATTCTTTCTCCCTCGTTGCGTCTTCTTCGACTAACACCACGCGGAACAGAGTATGACATTCATGTTAGATGAATTATTGCCCCATTGTAGAATTTTGCGTATTATGAAACCCCTTGCTACTCACTAGAGAGATTTGCTTATGTAATTAAGATAGATTTTGGCTGAGAAATTTCCTAAAGATATTCTATGGTTGCTCTGTGTATCTTGTATAGTTTTTCCACTCAATTGTGTCAATGCTACTTCTTCTTGTGGCAGGATGGCTTCTTTTGGAATGGAAGATTTTGCTAAAAAGTTTGGCAATTTGGAACCAGCACAGTTTGTTGACATTATCGCCCTTGCTGGAGACAAGTCTGATAATATTCCAGGTTAAGCCCACCTCTTCTACCAGTCACAAAATTATTATTTTTGGGAATTTCTCTTCAATAGCTGCATTGTGTATTTGGCTAAATACAAACTTTTAGCAAAAGTGCACACAGAAAAAGGCTAAAGTGATGTTGTGTAATGCAGGAGTTGATGGCATTGGGAATGTGCACGCAGTTGAATTGATATCTAGATTTGGTAGTTACTGAGTCATGCTATATGCTTTGATTTCATTGATTTGCGCCGCATGTTTCCTATTAATCACTATTATTGCATTATCAGGCTCGGTAGAGAATCTGTTGCAGTCGGTTGATGAGATCAAGGAAGGAAAAATAAAGGAGGTGAGTGAAGTGATGTTGCGTAGGCAAACTAGTACTTGTATGATATGCAAGGCCTAATTTTGAACACTTCCTTGTCTTTGCAACAGTCCCTAATAGCTAACGCGGAGCAAGCCATGCTAAGCAAGAAATTGGTAGGTTGTATTGTTTTATTTACTAGTTTCCATTCATTTCAGCTGTTGAGCTTCACAGGGTAGGGATGATTAATTTGTTAATGGCAGGCACTGTTACGATCCGATCTACCAGATTACATAGTACCGTTTGACACGAGTGATCTTACATTTAAGAAACCAGAGGTTTGTATTAAAGGGATTAAATTATTACATTTCCTAGAATAAAATTATCAGTTGAGAAAAAAAAGGCAAGAAGGAAAGAAAGACAAAGTTAACTGAGGTTTATCTGTGATGTGTGTGTATAGGACAATGGGGAGAAATTGAGGAACCTGTTAATAGCGATTGCAGCTTACGTAGAAGGATTTTCAGCTGATCCAATCATCAGAAGAGCTTTCAGGTTGTGGGAAAATCTGGAAGCAATGCCATGATGATATTTTCATCCTTTTTATTACTCTTTTGTGTTGTACTCGGGTACATAAAAGTTAAGGTCAAATTTAGAGGGTTGTCCCAAAATCCTTTTGTAAAGCATGCTTTTATCAAAAAAAAAAAAAAAAACAAACAAACAAACAAACTAGAGAGAATGATGAAGCTGATGCTAATTGGGAAGCTTTATTGATTGATAAAAAAATATAACCCAGTAGTGACCAAATTGGCTAAATAATAATGAGAGTCTTGACTAGATCATTGATTCACATTTGTTGAGCATTTCTTACATATGATTTAAACCATAACTAGATTCTTCCTCTTGATTAAATTCATCATCCATGGAGGAAAACAACAACACTTATAATAACAAAGATTTTTTTTTTTTTTTTCTTTTTTCATTCACACTTTTTTCGAAACAAAAGAGAGAGAAGTGACCTTTGCCAATTTCTCTCCCTCTCCCGTGGAAAGGAGCTGAAAATACAAAAGAAAGCCGATTTGGCTAATCTTAATGATGACGATGCTCTCACTTTGCCTTTGGGGCTATTTACATTTTCATTTTTTTTTACATATCTATTTCCAAAACTACCTTCTCTAAAGAGCCAAAGTTTCAAAAACCCTTTTGACATTTACAGGGTCACTGAAACAAACCACCCACACACGCACACCCACACCCACACAGAGTAATCCATCTTTATTTGCAACTCTTCTTCGAGCGCCAACACAAACTTCTTCTCCTAAAAAACCTGAAACCTGAACACAACAAGAAGATAGATAAGCCACTTGACCAACGAACTCATATACACACATTTTGGTCGTTTCCCAATCAGACTCATTGTTTGTTACCTAATTTACTTTCACCGTCTCAATCCCTGAAAATCACAGCATCAGCTATCTCCATAAGCGGTTGCAGCGACTCCGGCGAGAATTTTCTGGCGAAGAAATAGTCTAAACTTGAATTAGATCTCCGCAGCGAGCGAATCAGCTGCGGCGAGACCTCTGAAGCGCCGTACGTGTGAGGATGGCCACCAACACTACCCGTCCAATTAACACGCGTGAGTGTGAAGTGACTACATCCTTTAGGATCCTTAAGAGACAACAAAGTCGGGAAATAGTGTTCTTCAGGGTAACAAGATTCAACATCGAGGCATGGCAATTTGAATTTCCTCCATAGTTTCCTCTCTTTGATCACCATCAGAGCGTGACGTTTCGCCAAAACGAAGAACTGAGATCCGACACGGAAGTCTTGGTACCGGATCTCGGGAAGCATCGCGTCTTCGCCTCTTGCGCTGTACCGTTTCGGGAGGAAAGGTTCATCGGAGAGGATCTCGATGAAGCTTTGGTGATTGGATTTGGCGGAGAAGAGGTGGTTGTGGATGTAAGAGAAGGAATGGAGAGGGATACAGTGTTGCGAGATCAAAGCGAAATAGAGATTGTTAGGATCGTCGATGATAGCGTTTGCTAGCAATCTTCGTTCGGCGGAGATGAGCGTCGGGGAAGCTCGCGCGGTTCTTTTCGCCGGGATGAATTTGGCGTTGATGGATGAAAAATCACGAAGCGGAGAGACGGGGGTTGTTGGATCTGCGTGGATGTAGACGTTGTAGAGATCTTGGTGGCCTTGGAAGAAGCTTTCCCAGAGAGGTAAGAAGGTCAGATCGGAGTTTGTAAGGAAGAGAAACGCGATCTTAGGAGGCGGAGGAGATGAAGAAGAGAGGGAGATGAGACGGCGGTTGTTGATGTTGGAGGAAGAGACAGCGGCGCGGTGGTAGAGAGAGATGTCGTCGAGGTCATCGGCGGTGGAAATGAGGTTAGAGGAAGAGAGAAGGATGTGCGGTGAGAGGAACAAGATGAAGAAGAGAAGAGAAGTAGAGAGGAAGAGAGATAGAGAATACACGAGTGTTGATGAATTGAACATTTCTCTCATAGAAACAAAAAATTTCTCAGAGGAAGAAGATGATGATGAAGAAGAAGAAGAAGAAGAAGAGGATTTGATTTGAGAATGAATGAATTAGAAAAAATTTCTGATGTGACAATAAAAAGAGAAAAAGGAAAATATGACGTCAGCGAATAGGGACACGTGAAATTAATTATTATTATTTTTTGATTAAACAATAATATTTGGGGAAGTCGACAAACACAGTTGCTCTATCGCTATTTGTTTGTTGCGTTGCGTGGGGGGTATTTAAATACCTTTTGATACGGTTTTTTCAGCAACCAATTTTAAAAGTTTATCTGATTAAAAAAATCTAATATTAGTAATTTAGTATAGGGAGACAGAGACATATTCTTGACTTTTCTTTTTGAACATTATTTTTATATTCTTTGCTTATCCACTGAGTCGTCCTTTATCTCACAAGTCATAATGTGTCTGTCAGTGTGTGTGTGTGTGAATAAAGAGAAAAATGAGTTGGATATGAATATGATGATATGCTTCTCACTGAACCGGTTCGGATTCAAAATGTTCGGTTTACTATAATTCATACCAAATCAAACTTTGGTTTGACCGGAATGCCTTGGCTTACACGTGACTCTGTGTGTGTGTATGCGTGTGTGTGTGTTAGAGTAGATCTATCCACTCATTTGTTGTCGTCATGCTATCAAGATGATTCAGATATTTTATTTCTTCCCTGCTTTGCTCACTTTTGATTCCAAGAAAACAAAAAAATTTCTTCTCATTATTCTATTTCCATCTTTCTACTCATGGCGGCTATCTCCACCACCTTCTACCACCCACTCTGGACTTCTTACAACAACAGCAACCACCACCGGACAAAGAGACAAGCCCCAAGCAGACAGGGAGTTAGATCTATGACAGTGACTTCTTGTCGGAAGCAGAAATTACCGGATGGGGAGGACCAAGAAGTGATCCAGAGGATTGTGAGAAGGATTGTTTCAGAAGCTGAGAAGTTTGGGAAGGATCTGAAGCCAGAGAAGAAGAAGAAAGGAGACGTGAAGGATCTGATGCTTATGAGTCTCTCTTTTGCTGTTTATGTTTACATCTCTCAGTTATTGGTTTGTGCTTACTTCTCTTGGCAACATCTCAGCTTCCCAAATCCTTCTTGGTAGTAGTAGCTTACGCTTGCTTTCTTCTTCTTCTTCTACCCCAGTTCTTGATTGGGTTTTGTAAAAATCTTGCACAAATCATTAATAAGACAAAAAATATTCCATTGCAACATAGAAGATTTGAGAGTTGTGTCTTACCAAAATTATCAGGGAATGAATCCATATACATGTCTTAGTTCTCTGCTTTTGCCTAACTGTATTATTAAAGACTGTAACCTCAACTTACCTTCTTAGACCACATTTGAACCCGCTTCTTCGTTAATAACCTTCTTATAGCAAGGAAACTTCCAATATTTCATATCAAGTATCAGACAAGTAACCAATATTCTGAACTCAGTTAAGTGACTCCACCACATAGGGAAGATTAAAACCACAGTAGCAATACGTTTTATCGAGAGTCAGTACTTGATCAGCAGAAAGCTAAAGGTTACTTACAGATGCATTTTGAAATACTTGGATGGTTTGGAACCGTGTCCACCTTTTTTAATGATCTGCTTACTGACCTCTTTAGTTGTAACACTACCGTTTTGAGAAGGCTCACCATTTACAATGGCACTTATCATCCTTGACTAATCCCGTCTTAGCTCTAACAAACAGAGTGTTGCTAATAAACTTGGCCGTGCATTGTACTAATTAGTTCCAAATCAAAGTGTGTCTGCACCTTGAGACACATATGTCATTGGCTCCGGAGAATTTACATTTTAAGCAGTAAACTTACATTTTGCATTCTTGGATGAAATCCAAATTATTCGCAATAAACACTCTGTATTACAAGTATTAAAGTCTTGTAACGGAAAAAAAAAACTAAAAAATGTTCCAAGTCATGAAGAGAAGAATGTGGAAGGCTAGCTGACCAACAAATTCTTAACGTTCCAGTCAACTCCTAAACTTCTGAAAGACAATAACAGTCAAAAATAGATCACAGACTAAAAATGAATGGCCATCAGTAAACAAACATTTATTTTCATGTTATACCGTTAGAAAGTAAATATCCTTGAAGTGGTATAATGTTTACAATTTAGTCTGAACTTGTCATGTTGAATGATGAATGGTGTATGTATAATGGGGAGAGAAGGAACGTGAATAAAGGGATCCACAAGTGTCTCCACCAATTTCTGAGTAAAAACAATCACATCCTTTCATTCTCAAACCCCTCAACCAAATCGTCAACTCAAAGGAAAAAAAAAGAAAGAAAGAAGCACACAGACAAATCGAAAAGCTTCTTTCTCTGCATGAAACAATATACGAACGAATAAGGCAACCACACAGAGAGAGAAAAATGAACACAACTACGACAAAAAATGTTTGCGGAGACAAATGGTACCTTAATCTAGACAAGCCTGAAGAGGCATTGAAGTTTCTTGGTTTCATAGCCATTTTCGTCATCAGAACTCTCCTCCATCATCTCATGAAGCCTCTAGGCCAACCTTACCTCACCACCGACTTTGCTGTATGACATTCTCTTCTTGTGATCTTCTTCTATCTCTTTTGATTAAATTTCCATATTAACTCAGTTCTTGTATGCATCAGATAGGGCTGATTCTAGGTAATCTTCCAAAGTTTCGAGAGGCATTCTCGGGGCCTTACTCTGTAACACTCAACAACATAATCGAATTCGGAATGATCTGCCATATGTTTGTGCTGGGGCTAGAGATGAATCCAAGCGTCCTTCTCAGACCACCAACAAAAGACGCATTTATAGCATACACAAGCATGATCACGACCTTTGTTCTCGCCTTTGCCACAACTCCTTTCCTCCATTATACCAAAACTTCTCCGTACATTTTCTCCCTCGCTCTCTCCCTCATGGCCTCAAGCACTGGTTCCCCCATCTTAACCCGCGTCATTGCCAATCTCAAAATAAGAAAATCCGATCTTGGAAAACTCGCATCATCCGCAGGTGTCCATACGGACATGATATCTACCTTGTCTTACTGCTTCGGCTTCATTTTCGTCCCTGAAGAGAAACCTGCCACTCGTCCTCTCTACAGATTCTTCAGAGCCCTCCTCATGTTCTGCCTCTTCCTCGCTCAGATCACTTTCACCTCCATCGTATCCCCAATCTTTCTAAATTGGGTCAACAACGAGAACCCTGAAGGCAAACCACTCAAGGGATCTCACCTTGTTATGTCCCTGGCATTTGTCGTCTTGATCTGCAGTTTCCCAACTTGGTCACCTGAATCAGCCTACAACCCAATTCTCAGCGCCTTCACGGCTGGTCTCTTCCTTCCAAACCAAGGAAGAATGTCGAAATGGATCATCAACAAAATCAATTACTTGCTCAGTACGGTCTTCTACCCTATCTTCTTCTTTTGGGTTGGGTTCATTATCCACATGAGAAACTTTGACATCACGGATAAAATGGCCTGGGCGAAGTTCTTTTCTCTTCTCGGTACTGTCATCGTCGGAAAAGTCACCGGAACTGTCTTGTGTGGTTTACTACTTGGTTATCATGTCCCGGAAACCGCATCTTTAGGACTTCTTTTGACCACTAAAGGCCATTTGCATGTCTACTTGGCAGCCTTAGCTATACGGGTACCATCAAGCTTTCTCCTTTTGTTTTTCGTTTCTCTTTGTCATTCAAGTTATCTTTAAAGTGTGATCTTTACTTTGTTTTTTTTTGTCTGATGCAAATGCAGACTAACAGGGTGAAAAATACGACCGGTGCAATGATCATTTTTGTCATTGTCCTCACAGTGGTCTACTCCCCATTTGTGGTCATGGACATCATCAAACGTGCTAGAAAGCGGGTGCCTGTGCACATCATGGCGCTTCAATGGCTTGATCCAACAACTGAACTTCGGATCTTGATCGGTCTTCACGGTCAGCACAACATCGGTTCCACGCTCAACCTTATGGAGATCTGCCATGGGGGACGTGATCCAGGGTCCATATTTTATGCGACTGACATGGTGGAGTTGACTGATGAGATTGCTGCCACGCTGAAAAAGGGTGGAGGAGCTGGTCAGAGTAATGATGATTCAGTGACAGTAACCGATAGGTCGGTGACGGAAATGAGAGAGAGTATAACGGCAGCTGTGAATGGGTACGGGGAGCTCCGCAACGGACAAGGTGTGACAGTGCGCCGGATGCTTGCATTGTCCACTTTTATGACCATGGCTCAGGACGTTTGTGGTTTGGCTGATGAACTTATGGTTTCCATTATAATTCTACCGTTCCATAAACGACTGAATCCTGATGGCACTCTTGACTCTGGCCATGCTGGGTTCCGTCATGTGAATCGGAAGGTAACTGTTCCATCAAGTACTATTAGCGTCTTTTTCCTTTCTAGTCACTGAAGAATCAGCAGGATTATAAGGCTTTTGCGTTTGCAGATTCTGAAGAACGCACCATGTTCGGTGGGAATTCTTGTGGATAGGTCGTTCGGGCAAACAGAAGAGGCATGGAGACCAGGAGCGTCCATGGACATTGCTATAATATTCATAGGCGGCAGAGACGACCGGGAGGCACTAGCTTTCGCGGCACAAGTGGCTCGACATCCTGCTGTGAAGTTAAAGGTGATACGTTTCTTGGAAGACAAGAGCTCTCAGAACGCACAAAAACGCAGCAGCATCCTGAACAGAGCCAGCGTGGTAGAGCAAGAAGAGGAAATGAAGCTTGATGATGAATGTTTCGCTGAGTTCTATGAAAGATACATAGCTGGAGGTGGAAGAGTGTCTTACATGGAGAAGCATCTCACCAACTCTTCTGAGACTTTCACAGCACTTAAATCACTAGATGGAGAGTATGGGCTGGTGATTGTAGGAAGAGGAGGGGGAAGAGCGAGCAGTGGGTTAACCACTGGCCTCAACGACTGGCAGCAATGTCCAGAGCTTGGTCCCATAGGTGATGTTCTTTCCGGATCAGATTTCTCACACAACACATCAATGCTAATTATTCAGCAGCAACGTACTCGAGGTCAGCTAGAAGGGCTTCATGATGATTTCACCATCCTGTGAATATTGTACATCTGCACTTATTTAGTAGCTTGGGAAGAGTAGTAGCTTCAACATTACAGCTCTTAAAGAGACTTTTAATTTGTACAATAGTTCAAACATTAAGTGGTTTCTGTAGATAGAATGGTAAAAAGAAGAGTTAATCTTAGCATTACTTCTTAGAAGCCTGAAAGATGTTTAAAACATAGAGTTAAAACAAGTTACAGGGCGATTTGTTTCTGATTTACACAAAGCATAACTGGGGGAAAATTTCATAAGCTCATTATAAGTCTTGTGGCTTGGGCTTAGCGAAGGACAATGTTAAGCGTTTCTTCCCGATGTTCTGATGGAGACCTCTGAGTTCCCTAGTACTGATTTGAAAACTTGGCTACCTCTGCCTGAAAATACAAAAGGGTATACCATAAGACCAGGGTACATCAAACAACATCAATAGCATTTGATGTTTGCCTAGCTAATTAAAGTCAAATAAGTGTGAAGAGAGAAATCACTGTACCTCAAACTGGTTCTTCAAATAGTCGAGCTCCTTGTCGAGATCATTGATGGCCTGGTTGTATGCTTGCATCGGGGAAGACTGGCTTGTTGTATGAATCTACAAACATAACCACTTTCACACTTAAAAACAACAACATCCAATATATTTCTGAGTCCTAAATCAACCAGTATATCTCACTTCTTATGCTGTTTTGAAGTTCCTAAACAAATACCACCAATTCAAAAAGTGAACTTACCCTCACTATAATTTTGTACTTAAGAGGATGAGGCAGCTGGTATCCAGCAAACAAGACATTCTCGTCGCGGTGAAGTTGCCTAAAACAAAAATTTCAGGACAAAGCTGACAATAATTAGGGCTTTCTATCTTCTGAGGAAAAGTTTTACAAAATCAACCAAAAGAGACAAAGACGTACATGCGGACAATGTTTCCAATCGTATGGTCTTCTCTCTCAATCGTGAACGAAGCAGCATTGATGATCTTCGTGTCCCTATCATAAGAAACCCTATAACATACCCAAAAAAAAATCGAGGTTTTAGCACAGTGATTACAGAAAAAAATTGAGACTAATAGAGTAAAGCATTCGAGTGCTTCAAATTTCATTACTTCTTGGTTCCTTCAGGGACGACGAATCTCTCGTATCGGTCGGGAGCATTCATGGCTTAATCGGAGATTTCAAGCTTTCGTTCGCCGCAGAGACCCTTTCACTCTCTCTCTGGGAAACGAAAAGAAAATCTGAAACGAAAATACATCCCACGGCGTCGTTTTATCCCGCGAACGTAAAAAAGGAAAAGTATCTCCACGTGTTGTTTTGTTATTGGTTTATAGCCTTAGTGTCGGATCGGGCGGATGAAAACTCACAACTCTGAAAATATTACCATATAAGACCTTTAGGTTTAAGTTATTTACACAAAAACGAGCGTGTGATTTAATTGGGGAGAAACCTAAACAAAAATTCAGCAAAGAAAAAAAAAAAAACACAAGTCAGATCCCTAAAAATCGAACCCGAACGCGTAAAAACTTGAAAACCGACTATGGCCTTTCACGTAGCTTGTCCAATTACATGGTATCCTTTATTTTTCCCCTTCTCAAATCTTTTTTTATTTCTTTTTGGCGCCTCGTTACTCTATAGTCTTCGTCTTGTTGTTTTACTTATCGAATTGTTCAAATTGGTTTAATTTGGGTGTTGTTGTCTTCTTTCTTCATTCTTACTTTCTTTCGCAGCCGGCAAATTTGCTTCTGCGTGTTGGGGTTTCCTCGGAATCTTCATGGTAAACAAGTCAAGGATGTGTTTCTCGATGAGATCCATTCTCTACAAGACTTCTTGCGAGACCCCTGGGGTGAGGAGGTTTCTACGGACGGTACCGTTCAGATCCATGTGCCTAAGCTTGCAGTGTTTGATACTGGTCCTCGCATTGCGGCTAGAGATGTTCGTCTTGGGAATGATTCCGCGGTTGAGGTTGTCTCTGCTTCTTCGAATTCGGTATCAGCCAAACGCACTGTTGTGTTGCAGAAGAAGGCAGTGGTGGATTGTGCTGCAGCTAGTGATGGTTTTGACGACTTAGAGGTGTGATTTCTTGCTTTGAGAAACTTGTTTTTGTGGTTACTGCTATGTCACTTGAATTGAACTATTGTGTGGTTAACTTGAGAACACTAATTTGGTTCGTTCAGTTAGGCTAGACTTGCTAGTTACACATTCCCTACGGTTATGATATTGCAGCCTTTGTTTGATTATGAAGTGGAACGGTATATGTCGCATCATTTGAGTAGACATATCTCTTTCTTTCTGAGAGTCGTGTTGTAATGTTGATGAGCTGGTTCTGGTGTTTTTGTTATGGTGTTGTCCTACAGTTTTAGGAATAGAAGTGTATGGATAACTTGAGATAATTATTTGGTTCGTTCAGAGATGGTAGCTTTTGCTAGATAGGAGTTGTTTATGGTAGCCTTCGTTTGATTATGGAGTGAAACAGTATATGTCGTATTATCTGTGTAGAAATCTGTCTTTATGAAATATCCTGTATTTAGTAATGTTGATAGTCTCTTTCTTGTGTATGTCTCTCGCTATGAAGGTTGCTGTCAAAGAGCTCAGTGGAGTTGATGATCATGATCATCACAGTACAAGCATAACGTGTCACATGTGCTATTTGGTTGAAGTTGGGAAGAGTGAGAAAGCCAAGATGCTTTCTTGCAAATGCTGTGGCAAGAAGTATCACAGAAACTGCTTGAAGCCTTGGGCACAACATAGAGGTATCATTTGCGTGGAATGTAATACTTATGAGTCTTCTGCCAACTGCCTAGATACTTATACCTGTGTTTGCTTTCAGATTTGTTTAATTGGAACTCTTGGGCTTGCCCCTCTTGCCGAATCTGTGAGGTTAGTTTGGACACAATTTTGTGCTCGATTACTATTCCTACACTTTTATTTTCTTTTCAACAAGTGTTCCTGCTCCTTAGATGCTGGGCTATGTTAACGTTTCCTCATCAAGTACCTGATATATTAGAAACAATTGATTTGGAACATTATAATTAGTTAGTGTGACCGCCTCTTGATTATTTACACTCTCTTGATCATGTTTCCTTCAGGGCTGCGGGACTGTGGGGGATCCAAAGAAGTTCATGTTCTGCAAAAGATGCGACGCTGCATATCATTGTGATTGCCAACAACCTCGGCACAAGGTAGTATTTATTGCTTCTATATAACGTTCTTATCTTTTGCAAATTGATTAATTTTTGTCTCTGAATTTTACAGAATGTTAGTTCTGGACCCTATTTGTGTCCTAAGCACACCAAATGTTACAGCTGTGGGTCAACAGTCCCTGGGAATGGCCAGAGCTTACGGTATTTAACTTCTTTTTGCTTTGTGACTCCTAATATTATTTGATTCATGTAAAGTGCACTAAATCTCTTATCATTCCTTTTAAACTCTGCAGGTGGTTTTTGGGGCATACTTGTTGTGATGCTTGTGGAAGGTTGTTCGGTAAGGGAAATTATTGTCCTGTATGTTTGAAGGTATATTCTCTCATTCTCCTTATTGGTGACAGTTGGCCAGGTTTTCTGTTTCCATGCATCATATTTGGTTTATGTTTGGTCAGATTTAGCTGTTTTAGGTTTATGATGTAGCTTTGAGTTGTTATCCTATACTATCTACACATAATTATCACAAAAGTAGTTAAAATGCAGCATTTTCTTACGTTTTTGGCTCGCTTTGAATCAAGTTGACTAATCTATTTTGTTTTCATTACGTAGGTTTACAGGGACTCAGAATCAACACCAATGGTGTGTTGTGACTTTTGCCAGCGTTGGGTTCATTGCCACTGTGATGGAATCAGGTCAATATCATTAATCTATTTCATAATGCAACATTACTTTTGTGTCATGTAAGCATGTCTTCCAAGTCTGTATCCAACTATTTTAACTGACATACTAACTTTGCAAACATATATCACAGTGATGAGAAATACATGGAGTTTCAAGTGGATGGGCATCTTCAATACAAATGTTCTACGTGTCGTGGGGAATGCTACCAGGTGTGTTTCCTCGGTCCTCTGTCCTTTTCAAGTGTTTGTTTGTATATTTGTCCAACGTTCTAGTGGATTGCTGTGAATGACAATTTGGTGACGCCATCTTCTCTTGCTGATGTATGTTTATGATGCCAGGTCAAGGATGTTGATGATGCTATACAAGAAATATGGAAGCGAAAAGATATGGCTGAAAAAGAACTAATTGCTAGCCTAAAAGCTAGTGCTGGGGTTGTTGGGAAAAGTGGTGGTGCCCCTCTTATCAATCAGCCTGGATCTGTGGAAAGAAAAGTTTCTGCGAAGGCTATGGTCAATGGTGAAGAAGAGAAGCCACTGAGAGTTCTCAGGATAAAAAGCAGCAGACCTCAAGATTCAGATAGTGAGAAATTTGGAAAACACTCGACAGAGCTGAAGGCGAAAAAATTGGTGATAAGTATAGGTCCTCGAAAGACGGGGGTTACAAACTCTATGAGCAGCGATGTATCAAAGCTTTCCTCCAAATCCAATGGTATGTGTAGTGTACATTTTTGCATGCTCTTGTAAACTAATGTAAGAAAAACACACTACGATTTAAATTAAATTCAGCTTGTTCTTTATTTGATTGATATACGGCACAGACATAATAATAAAAAGTGCGTTGGTAATTTCAGGAAAGCAAGAAAAATTGCAATCAGAGGAATTGTCGTCCCGAGAACAGCATCGCAGCTTGTTAGGAAAGAATAATGACGAAAAGAGAGGGTCTAGAGGTGAAGTAGCCACTTTAAAGGCTGAGGGCAGATTCATAGGGAGACACTCAGATGCCAGAGGAGATTTAAATAGTGGCTCTCATGATTCATTGCAGAAAGATTCAAGACCATTGTTGAAACTGAAAATAAAGAAACATAATCCCGAGAGCCAAGAAGGTGAGGCCCCTAGCATTGTCGATGAAAAAGGTAAATCTGGTAAAGGACATAGGTCTAAGAGGAAAAGAGCATCACCTCCAGCTGAAAAGTCAGGGTTCAATGAAGATGAAGATGTATCCTTGTCACGCGAAGACAATTTGTTAGACGAAATGCTTGATGCTAGTTGGATTCTGAAGAAACTGGGGAAAGATGCCAAAGGGAAAAAAGTTCAAATACATGAAGCCTCGGACGATTCATGGTATATGTGATTCTTTTTGTATTTGCCTTTGAATATCTCAAGTAGTTATAAGTTTCTAACAAATGAGGTAACAAAAAAACAGGGAGAAGGGAGTGGTAAGTGAAGTAGGAGGAGGAGGCACATCGAAGTTGATGGTGACACTGGAGAATGGAAAAGTGAAGACGGTTGAGCTCGGGAAGCAAGGGGTTCGATTTATTCCTCAGAAACAAAAGAGGACGAGAACGTAGTGCCATCTATTCTTGAGTAATCACATTAGAAAACAACATGAGCTTCTCCTTCTTCTTTATCTTCTATACCTTTAGAATCTGTATGTAACTTCTTGATTAGCTTCTTTTTTTTTTTTTTGCTTGGGAACAAGTTTTAAAGAGCAACTGCTGAGAGAAAATAAGAGGTTTAAAATTGTAAAAGATTCGATAAAAAGTTAGGAGGATGAATTCAAACTGATTTGAGATAACTTTATGTAGTTTTTGTAATTCAGACATGAATATCATCATATACACAGTATATGTCTTAAAAGATCTTATGTTGTTTTTTGAAAAGTCAACTCATGAACATTGCCACGCGTTATGCAACGGCTGAACTTCTACAGTTCTACGGATGAGAATGTAAAATATTTTTATGATGACAAATAATAAATACAAAACTAGGAATTTAAAAAAGTGTCGGTCTACAAATCTACAATGTAGCAGTAGATACTAGAAATGGCAGGAAACATATGATAAAATTGAATTGGGGTTGTGGAAAGAAGGGTAACACGTGATTATCAAACCAAATCTTCTTATCTTCTTTACTAATCGAAACATCTTACGCTATTACGATTTGTTTTGTTAGGTACCTGTAATAGTAATAAGGGAACCCAAAAAAAGAAGCAAACGAATAATAAAAATCACGATCTGCGTTTTCCCCTGAAACAGCCAAAAAAAAAAAAAAACAGAGAGAGAAACAAAAAATGATACAGCTGTTTTTCACGATAGCGTTCTCGGCGGCGCCGTTAACTCTGTACATACCGCCGGTAAGATGTTTGACGGTGTTTGTGGAGACGATGGAAGAGATGGGAATGGAAGGTAGAGTTTATAGCCGGAGACTTTTCCCTCGCGCCAGAATTGCTTGGTCTAGGCTTCTTGATTGCTTCTTCTCCCCTTCTCGTCCTCTCTCTTCTTAAAAATTCCGTTCGTCTTTCTCTTCCTTTCTCTGTAGATATGTGTAACTTCAGTTTCCTTCTTGTGCGTATATGCTTTCGATTCGAGATTTAGTTTTTTTTTTTTCTTTTTCTTTTGGTTTTGTTATTGTTGTTGATCTTGATAATAATTGATTAGAGAGATGGATCTGTGATTCCTCTTTTTGTTCTCTAATCTCTCTTTTTATTTCAAACGAATCGTTGTATGTGTAAAAAAGGAAGAGATTGAATCAAATTGCTCAGGATTACTTATGTGGAATCTGAGCAAGATTATCATCTCGTTTAGTAGTTACAGTTGAATAAAGGAAACTTTAACAAAAGAATGAATCAAATATAGAACGAATTTGGTGAAAAATTAAAACTTGTTCTTTTAGTTGGCTAAAGTGCAAGGCTTTAAGAACCAGAGAACGTCCAAGCCCCTTGCTTCCTTGGCTTCTCCACTCTTTCTGTTCTTCTCTTCTTCTGCTTCATCTTCTTTTCTCTTCACGACTTCCTGTGTACACAAAATCAAAAATAGCAACCATTCAAATGTGTTTGACTTTGTTATGTTTGGTTGTTCTTCTTTCTTTAATTGGTCTTGCAGGATTTGAGTTAAAGGGGGTTAGACTTTAAGGTTGTATGCGAGTTTTTGAGCAGGTAAAAGGAAGAGTTTATATACATACCGTAAGTTTGGTCCTCAAGGGTTTCAAATTAGCTGTCCGGTTCTCTGAGAAGCATTGAGGAGATGGTGGATTTGTCCTGATTTGTTGCAGGAATCGTTCGTGTCCTTTGTTCTTTACAGTCTCTAGTTTTAGAGGAACAGGAATGTTCTCTGCATCATCCATTCTCCTGAAAAAATTCATTACAGAATTCAAAGTTACTTAATTTACTTAAACTCAACAAAGTTACTTAATTTGTACTTTATTTACTTAAACTCATCAGTAGTATATAATACTAGACTTGGTCACTTGAACATATAAAATGAAAGTCACTCGAGTAGCAAAACTTACTTCTTTCTTCTGCCATCATCTTCGTTGCTCTTTACAGTCTCCACATTAAGTGAGACAGGAATGTTTTCCGCATCATCCACTCTCCTGCAAATCCCCAATAGAACCCTCAAAGTTTAGTAACTCAATTCTATGCTGGTTCTGCATAAGCACAATTTTACTGTAATATGGTCAAACTTACTTCTTTCTTCTACGGTTCTCTTTAAAGGTGCTTCCTTTAACATCCGTAGACTCATGGAGTTTATCTTTGCTTACTTCAAGCAATGGCTTTCTTTCTTTTTTCAATTCCAAGTCATGAACAGAGTAAGGCTGATTTATCATCCCACCCACTTGATGATGAGTCTCCTTCACTTCAGACTTCCCAGTATCTTCTCTCTCAGTTACCCTTGTGGCTAATCTCTTCAACTCATAGCAGAAATCTGAGATATGGCCAAATATGTCTCTCCCTGAAAACAGATTTCTAGCTGATTGTGTGCTCTTTAGTCTCGGTGTTTCTTTATTCATCTTCTTGACAGAAGTTGATTTAATTGCTGATCTCCATGATTTTGCTTGGTAGCTTGGAGGTGTGGCCAAGTTTGGGTTCTGATTTTCACTTTCTTGGTTGTTTGGAGTAGACGGTGATAAGGCATATCCCCTCCTCCTACAAGTTAATATGACATAAGAATGTGAAATGCCATAGCAAAACATTGAGGTTGGGGATTTTAAGTAGAGAGTTAATAGAGCATCTCGCAATGTACCTCTGATTCTGCTCTGTAACTCCAAGAGTCTCATTTGTATCCCTCAGACTTGGATGCTTCAAAATCACAAAGAAACACCGGAAAATTATATTAAAGGTAAAATCTTTGGGCAGCCAAGAAACTGTAATTTCATTCCTGTTTCATATTTTTATGAGGAAACAAGAAAGTAAAAGAAGAAGGAGAAGCAAACCTTGAAAGAAGTGGGCGTTGAGAAAAAGTCCTCAGGTCGCTTGGGGTGATTACATTCTTGAGTTGAGGTAAAAAAAAAAGCCAGAATCAGTAAAAGAACCATCAAAGATATGCCAGAAGATAAAACGAAGAAATGGAAAGAGAGAGTATCTTGATCATTACCAGGTTTGCAGAACCAAGCATCGTCGTCAACAGAATCTAAATGGCTTGGAGCCAAGAAATCGAACCATTTTGGAGCTCTTATGTGTTCGTAAAAGACGTCTTCAACAAAACGAGAATCGATTCGCTTCCAATCGATCTGAGCAGGCTCCATTGGCGAATACAGAGATTGAGAGAGAGGGAAAGATACAAGACAAGAGTTGTTGGGTTGGAGCGAAAAAGAAGAGGAAGAAGAAAAAGAATGTAACCGTTGGAGTGAACGTTACAGGGACATCTGTGCACGTGGATCTCTCTTGTTACCGTTGCAGCTTTATTTATTCACACCTCTACTCATTACTATTTTTGTATCATTTAATTAATTCCCTAAAGCTACGCCACGTGGAAAAGAACCGAGACGTGAGAATGGGTAATTAATGGGCCTATATCGTCTTTACCCCTCGCCTCCGGCCCATATTCAGTCGGGTATGCGAGTTATCCGCTCTAACAAACATAAGGCCCAACTACCGGGTCGGGTCTTTCAGTAAGCTTCTCGGGTAAGCTTTCACTAAAACTTGAAATTTATAAGGAGTAACGTCAACGCGCGAAAATTCCGAAATTATAGAGGGAAACAGACCGCGATAATCTAAAATATTTGGATGCTCTAATTCCAGATTAGTCTTCTGGGTTTCACATATCCAGAATCGATCAAAAGCTCCTTCGATCTTCCCCTTGCGTCGTTTCATTATTAAAATGTAAGTTTACACTTCTTCGTTTTCTCCAAGGTTTTTATATAGATCTTGTTATCACTGGATCGGAATTAAGTAAGAGTAGAAATCCACTCGATCTGTTGAAGAAATGATTCGAGATCTGTTTTCATGTTTAGGTAGCTAAAACCCAGTAATGGAATCGTTGAATTGAGTAGAAAACGTAATTTCTAGGCACTTGCTGATCGATTTTGTGATTTCTGATTACAGCTTGAAGATGGGAGATGAAACAGTTGATGGCGTTGAAGCCAAGTACATATCTGGTCTCAGTACCATAATGGTTGCTACAATCCAAGAAGCTAAGGATCGGATATCTCAGATCGAGTACATTTTTTGTAGCCAGTTATTCCCAAATTTTCAATCTAAATCTAAAGCTTTTGAAAAGGTTTATTCAGAAGCTCGTCTTGCTGCTTGTGATACTTGGAAAGAGAGAGAGAAAAATCTGGTGTCCCAGATTGAGGAGCTTAAGGTAGAGAATCAGAAAATTAAGTCTGAGAATCTGGGTTTGATCAAGGATAAGGAGAAGCTAGCTGAACAGCTTGTTAATACTGCTTCTATGCCTCTTAGATTGAAGAGTCTAGAAGATTACATCGATCATTTGAAAAAGAAGCACAAAAGTAGATCTAAGGAAGTTAATGATGCAAGAGATTTGCATTATAGGTTAGTTCAGTTGTTACAGGTTAAGGGGTCGGATGAGCTCAGCGAAGATGCCATCAGTATGATTCTTTCCGAAGTGAGGAGCCTCAAGGTGAAGGCTGAGGATGTTTCGAAGAAGACATTGGTGACTGAGAATCTTCTGAAGAAACTTGAGTATCTGTCTGCAGAAGTAGCAGACAGTGAAAGGAAGTTAAGCAGCGTTGAAGAGGAGAAACAAAGATTGATAACTAGGTCGCATGTTTTCGAGGAGAATGTTGGTAGACTTGAAGAGCTACTTAGGCAGAAGAGCGATGAGCTTGAGGAACGAAAGACGGCTCTTGAGGTTTTGCAGGGTAGACTCAACTTGACAGAGAGGGATTTGTTAGAGTGTAAACAGAAGATTGCAGATTACGAGAAAGAACAGAGAGTGGTTATGGGTAAAGCAAAAGATGATAGACCTATGATGGAGGCCAGATATGGAAGCTACTTGGCTGACTTAGAAGCATTACGTTGCCAGAGTGAGAAGAAATCATCTGAGTTAGCTATGGAGAGAAATAAAAGAAAAGAACTTAAAATTTCTTACAAGAAGCTGATGTCCCAGTATAGTTTTCTCTGCAAAAGGTTTGGTCTTCCTACTAACAGTTTTCTTCACCAAAGCAGCCTTGACGAGGAGTATAACCAAATGGGACAACATGAGAAACCAGCCACCTCGAGTTGTAAGTATTGGCAATCTCTGACTCTGATATCTACACCTCTTTTGTTTGATTACTTGCTTTAATCGGTCTTGCTTCAACTGTATACTTCTTGTGCCATTAGTAAAATCATCCAATTTTTCTTTTCTTACAGCTCTTGAAAGGAAACACTCAGGAACTACAGAAGGAGCAGATAAAGTGAGAATTGGTCCTGGCACGAGTGGTAGCAACTGTGGGAAAGAGAGTATAATCAAAATGGTGCAGACACCTACCACTTCCATCTCTCCAGTTTTGCAGTCGCCTGGTGTTAAAAGTGGCCCTTCTGCGTTAAAATCTCCACAGATAAGTGGATTAAAGCGTCCAGCTTCCATTTGGAGAGACACAAGGTCTCGCCAATCTCCTGGAGGCAATGATCCTCATGATGACTTTCTAGATACTCCCATTGAGAATGTCAAAAGGGGCACTGTGGAAGAAAAACATGTTCAGGATGTTGCTAAGAAAGATGATTCAGACGACGAGACACAGGACATGAATCCTAAACCGAGTCCATCACGGCAGCGAATTCAAGTTGCAGAATCGAGTAAGAAAAGTTTCAAGCATGTGGAGTCAGTAAGGAAAAAAGCTGAGAGGGAGAATTTGAAAGGGATGGAGTGCAAACAATGCAAGAAATTCTATGATGCTGTTCATCCTGAGAACGATGGAAATGGTAACAAAAGCTTGAGATGTGAGCATCATGAAGGTGTGTCGAGGCATCGTTATAGATACGCTCCTCCAATGACCCCTGAAGGATTTTGGAACATCGGGTTCGAATCCGAAATGTGATTACTGTATTTACACATAATGCTTGGTTCTTTGGATAGGAAGACCACAATAAAAGTTATTCTCTGGCAATCTAGAAGAAAATAGCAACTAAACTCCTAGGATGAATTATTTAATTCAATGATTTAAAGTCAATTCCCTTTGTTTGATATAATCTTCAACAAATACATTCATGCTTACTAAACACTAACTAGGATCCTTGGCAGCTATATCAAAAGTAGTTTTATGCATGAACTCTCATCGATCATATCAAACAAAGAAAAACTTATGCTTTACAAGACAGAAGCTTCATTCTACCAATCAATTTGAATAATTTGAGGTTTTAAATTTGATATTTAGATCCTAAACTAAAGTATCAATCATTTAATTTTTAGGACCGTATTATGTATAACAGTTTCTTAATGGATGAAACTAAATAACTTTGAAACTTTCGGGACCGTCTTATAAATATAAGAAACCTTATGTACCCAGTTGGGGAAAAAGAACAAATAAGGGCCTCCTTTACGTGTATATATTAGATTATTAGGCGCAGAACAATCGAGCTTTCTTATTCCGATTTAGTCGCTCCGATCGTTGTCCTCCCGCTTCCGTTTAGTCCGACATCGTTCCGACGACTTCTGACCGTGACATCGGCGAAGGTGACAAGATCGCTAATCTGTTTTCGTATAATTCGTTTTTTTTTTGTTTCTCTCTTGTTCTCTGAATAAATTGTTTACTAGATCTTAATTTTATTTCGTTTGTATCCGACCGAGTCGAATAGTAACCTAGGTTTTTCCTGCATCCTGCGATTTTTACCTTTTGTCTCTCTTAGTGGATTATGGGTTTTTGTTGGTTAATTTCTGGAGCTTGATTTTTTGGGATATCTAGATTTGTTTGTTCACCACTAGTTGCCTTTATCTTTGTTAATTCTATGGAATCGAGGACGATAATGCTCCTTTAGTTTTTTGATTTTGTTGAATCCGATCAAACGATTTTGTTTGCGGTTGTATTTTTCTTATATATAGGGAGCTTAAATAGTTATGATGGTTTCTAAATAGTTGGAGACCTTATCTGTTCAACAGTGACTTCAATACAACTATTGGACTTGGTTTGCTAGCAATGGAGAAAGGAGCACCTCCTAGCATCTTTGTGAATGATGGGTCATTCATGGAAAGATTCAGACAGCTTCAACAGGAGAAAGATAAAGACAAGGACAAGGTTGCCCCTGTTGAGGATTCTAAGCCTGTGAAGATAATATCTGGGATTTCAAATCCCAAACCTTCTGCTAGTAAAATTTCCATTGGATTAAAGACCAATGATGCCCAGAAGAAAGGTGGGAAGCTTGCTTTCAGCTTGAAGCAAAAGTCTAAGCTTCTTGCGCCTCCTATAAAGCTTGGTACAGAAGATGATGAGGATGAGGAGGATTCAAAAAATGATCAAGGCTTTGGATCTGCCAAGCGTCAAAAGCTAGATCAGAGAGACACGCCTGTAAAGTCAGCAAAAGTATCTGATGTTGGTAATGGCTGTTTATATATATATCTGTGTTTGAGTGTTCTTTCTGGATGTCTCTGTGATGATTCTAGTTTATCTTGCTTTTTTATGGGTCCATGTTCTCGTAAGCCATTCTCTATTCCATTTAGTAAGTGCTCTATGAGGGTTATGAACATATGATGTCAAGAGTCTCAAGTTTCCTGTCTGTTTCTTTATTGATGAATCTGTGCATTTTATGTGAAACGAGGAAGGCCTATGAGTCCTAGGTTGCCAATAGTCCCAAGTTCCTGTTAGTGTTACGTGGAGCTGCGTTTTTTTTTCTGGAATGGAAAGGACAAAAACAGTCTGGAAATTTAATTGTCTACTTAAATGCAGTGTCTTGCTTAACCAACAATACAATTGCTGGAAAGATTTGGAATAACTCCCACGCCTGCTACAAGAGTGATTTGCATTCGTTGTTCATGGACTCGGTATTAATCAGTTTTATAAGTGATATGCAGCACCACTTCCACCCAGTGATCCTACTGTGAAGAAAGTTGCTGATAAACTAGCAAGTTTTGTTGCTAAGCATGGAAGGCCATTTGAGCATATTACACGGCAAAAGAATCCTGGGGAGACACCATTTAAGTATGTATTTCATTGCTTTTCGAGCTTCTACAGTTTAAAGTTTCTGGATACTCTCCTTTATACACATACTATTTTGGTATCTGGGTTTTCTTGATTGTGTTTGTTGACCTTATGTATCGTGTGTCCTGTTTCCCAACCAGATTTCTTTTTGACGAGAACTGTGCGGACTACAAGTACTATATATTCAGGCTGTCTGAAGAGGAAAAATCAGTTTCACAAACCAAGGAATCTGGTGTACTTCACAGTGGTAAGTATTAGATATCTGTGTTTCTGTAGACCAAAAGTCGCACAACTGATTTTTGCTGTTCTATTTATCCATTTTCTTCGTTTTTATCTTTCCAGGTGATGCAGGCCCGCGAACATCCACAGCAGCAATGACTTTGCAAAAGCCAGCTCATCAACAAGCAGGTTATCAGATTCCTGCCTCAGCCCTCTATGATGCTCCTGATGAACCTGGAGCTTCTTCTAGATCTGCTCAGGCAACAATTACAAGACCCAGCAACAGTATATTCATTAGCCTTTTATCTGCCTAGGTTCCCCTCCTATCACTGGTATCTAGCTTTGATTGTGGGTTACATGTGTTTGATCTGCAGGTGACTCCTCTAGTGGGCCGAGGGGTGCAGACCCTATATCAATGATGGAGTTTTACATGAAGAAGGCTGCCCAAGAGGAGAAAATGAGACGTCCTAGGCAGTCAAAAGATGAAATGCCCCCACCAGCTTCACTTCAAGGCCCATCTGGTGAGAATTAATCCTATGGCTATTTCTTGTTTTATGCAGCTATGATGTCTTATTGTGCCTGCGTTTGATTTCAGAAACTCCCTCCACAGACCCTGGAAAGAGAGGTCATCACATGGGTGACTATATCCCTCTCGAGGAGTTGGATAAGTTCCTTGCAAAGTGTAACGATGCAGCTGCACAAAAAGCCACAAAGGAGGCTGCTGAGAAGGCCAAGATCCAAGCAGATAATGTTGGACATAAGCTCTTGTCGAAAATGGGTTGGAAAGAAGGTGCTTACTTGCTTCACTTTATCTGTAAACTTGTGCCCTTGTTACTTTCTGTATCTTGTGCCTCTGTGGAGACAAGGAGCTTAGAAAATTGGAGGAGTGGATTACAGGTGAAGGTATAGGAAGCTCCAGAAAGGGGATGGCAGACCCTATTATGGCAGGAGATATAAAGACAAACAACTTGGGAGTTGGGGCTTCTGCTCCTGGAGAAGTTAAGCCTGAGGATGATATATACGAGCAGTACAAGAAGCGAATGATGCTGGGTTACAAACACAGACCCAATCCACTGGTACTTGTGCCATCTCTAACTCCATTCTTTTTGTAATAGCAGATATTTACTCATGTAGTGTCAATTTCTCTGCAGGGAAATCCCAGGAAGGCGTATTACTAAGGATCAATCAACATGCTGCGCACAATTATTACCTATCTCTCACCTCAGCACTGGCTGAGCTTTTGTTTTTCTATTAAAAAGAATGTTCAAGTTTTTTAGATTTCTGACTGATAATTTGAAGTGTTGGTATGGATTGAACTTGCGTTTCAGTGTGCAAATAGATCTCGTTGACAGAAATATCAGTTGAAATACAATGGATCTATTATTGGATACGACTACTAATTCTAATTGATTGTCATAACTTTATTAATGTGTTGGAAGTCTGGGACAGAAGGTGTTTATTTGATTGAAAGGAAAATGAAAAAGAGAAGGATGGTATGTCCTTTCTAGTTAATGACATCGCAGGGAGGGAAATTAGCAGAGCATCTCTGAGGAAGCTGAAGAGCCATGGAGCGGTCAATGCCCGAGAGTGGAGGTCCATTGGCAAGAAGACATAGACAAGGACGGCCAAGTGTGACAACGGCAGAGCAACAGGTTTCAGTCGGTGGGATCGGGCTGAAAGGAGCTACAGCTGCTCTGCATGGTATCAGCTGCACCAGAGCGGAGAAGAATGTTCTGCTGCATCCTTTAACTTCTTCCTCAGGCAACATTGGTGGGGGAGGTGGTTGCTGCAGTTCCTCTTGCTGCGCTGTGACTATGGTAAGAACGGTTATGGTCATGAGCAGCACCATTGCTAACCCAGCTCTCATAGCCCTCATTGTCATGTAAACTACTGATGGTAATGAGATGACGCAACAACTAGATCATGCTTCTTTATATATATGCTATAAAAAAGGGTGCATGTCATGCCGTTTCACACCTCTCTCCTACCTCGCAACCAAATAGCTTCACGATTACTCTGTGTGTTTCCCACTCTTTAGAGCTTCAATCTTCGATCAAACTCACAAATCTTCTTACAACATCCATGTGCTAAATGATATATACTTGCCTTGGCGTGTGGTAAATTGATGATACTTGCACGGTTTGATTGGTGATATTAATTTATAAGAAGTTTTTTAACCAGTAAGCGACGTTATTGTTAACTAGAGTAGAAATAAACGGTGAAAACTTGTATCATAATAAAAGATTTTGAGATTTGTTCCAAAAAAAAAAAAAAAGATTTGGTAATATAACCTCAACTTTTAGGCCATGAATGGTGAACACAAAAGCAGGATGATTTTAAGGCACATATGTTACCATTTAATCAGATTTTTTTCAATTAGCGTTTTTTTAAAGGAAAAAGTAGATTTGCAAAATTAACCAATATATATAAACATAAAACTGTTTGAGACCGTTTTTTCCGCACAATCAAATACGTTGTCACCGTTCGGACCAGTATACCTCAACGTCCTCAACATTTTTGTATTCTAGTGGTATGAATAGAAAGACTAATAAAATCTGATATTAGACTTAGTGGTATAAATAGATTATTATAGCCCTATGATATACTTCATATGACACTGATGGTTTATATATTACTATATATCTGATATGTTTATGTTACTCTGATGTTTCATCATCACACTGTGACTATGTCATGTGTTTCTGTCATAATGCTTTTTTTATCAATATCGTGGCTACTATAAATCTATTTATAGAGTATCTACAAGTTCTATTAATTATAGAGTACTGGTATAAAAAACCAATATTGACTTTCCACCAAAAAAAAAAAAAAATTGACTTGTTTCCAAACAAAAAAGATACAGTACTTCTTTAGAATATTAGTAATTTAATGTACGTGAAAAGAAGACTTTTAAAATGCTTAATTAAAAGACACAACACAACCCCCCAGTTGTAAAGTGGAACTGAATAGGTCTTTAGTTTAACTGAACTGGCACACTACAAAACGGTAGTTGTAAAGTGGAACTGATTAGGACAATGATATTGTAAAATGTGAACCGCAGATTTGTGTGAGTCAGTTCACCATAAACTAATGAGGAATCTAAAAGCCATTAAATCAGACTAAAAGTGAGATTGGACTAGCTCGCATCGAAACCTTATTTGCCGTGATGTTATCCTTGGAATCAAACCCATTATACTGTGTTATTTTTGTGGTTAGTGATTAATCGTCATCTAAACTTGCTTAAATTCAGATGATTAGCAATAAATTGCGCATCTTTCCCGCTGTTAAAAAGGCCCAAGCAAAGCCCATTAAAAACCCAAACAGAAACGATTGGTTTTGTCTCTCTGTCTCTCTCTCCTAGCGAACTACTCAGCTCTAACATATAGAAAGAGTCAGAAAATCTTCAGCCGCCTCTTTCACTTCAACCCTCCTTAAACCTCATCTCTTTCCTACTCCGCCGCTCTCTCAGTCGTCTCCGTCGTCACTCCATTTCTCTTGACCCCTCCAGGTAATTCACCTCTTAGATCCTCTTCTGTACCCTTTACTATAGTTTTTCTAATTGGTCTTTCTCCATCTCACTGTTGATTACGTATCTATGACTTTTTTCCCCCTTTTGGATTATATTGCTCCCTTTTACTCTGTTTCTGTCATATGAATGTTTTTTCATCAATTCAATCACTTTTGAATCTTTCCCGATTCTTTCCTCTTTTAGGTGAAATGGCTGGGAAGTCGAACAAATCGAAGGCCAAGAGAGCGGCTCAGAGCTCTACCACCAATTCAACTGATGTTAAATCCGATGCTCCTGTTACTGCCCCTGTTCCTGATGTTCCTGCTCCTCCTACAGCTACTGCTACTGTTCCTGCTCCTGATAATGGCACCCTCAATGCTGCGGTTGACGCTGCTGTGTCTGAAACCAATGAAGTTCCTCCTCCGCTTCCTAAGGCTGAAGAAAGCGAATCACAAGTAGCAAATAACGATGCCCAACCCAAGCAAGGTTAGTTCTTATGCGTTTTCTAAGAAGCACCCAATTTAGATCATATCTCAATTTTGATGTGTCAATGTGGTTTTCTCGTAAGCTAAGTGGATTCCACTCCCTCTTTTGTATTGATTTTAGTGTCTAATATGTCTTGGCTTTCACAGGTGAACTCCGTCTTTATCCTGTGTCTGTCAAAACACAAAGTGGGGGTAAAATGGAGCTTCAAGTAAGTTCGACTCTTTTGTTTTTCTTTCCACCTTTTATACCTCTCGCTAGTCAATTAGTGTTTCAGTTTCTTCAGGGATTTATTGCTTATACATATTTCTTATAAAGCATTACCCTTTCAAACTGTTTTCTCATATATATAAAAATATACAAAATATATTGGTGTGAATTACTGAATCTCTCTAATGGATCTGTTTTCAGTTGAACCCTGGAGACTCAGTAATGGATATAAGGCAATTCCTTCTTGATGCTCCAGAAACGTGCTACTTCACTTGTTATGAGTTGTTGCTCCGCAATAAAGATGGAGAGACTCACCATTTGGAAGACTACAATGAGATCTCTGAAGTAGCTGACATTACTATTGGTGGTTGCTCGTTAGAAATGGTTGCAGGTATGCTAATTTTGTTTCTTCGTTTCTTTTTTTGGGTTTGGGACTAAAATTTGGAAGTTGACTTGCTTTATTTCTATGGACAGCATTGTATGACGATAGATCTATCAGGGCTCATGTTCACCGTGCCAGAGATCTTTTGTCTCTTTCAACACTTCACTCGTCCCTATCAACAACACTTGCCTTGCAGTATGACGCAGCACTTAACAAAGTTCAGAACCCTGGAGGTTTTGAATCTGACTCTTTTTCCTTATGGTGTTATGCTTTACTAATCTTCTCATGTACTCAAAGGGCTTATTTATGGCTTCTATTATGAAACAGATAAACCAAAGTCTGACGTTCCAGAACTTGAATGTTTGGGTTTTATGGAAGATGTGCCTGGTTCCCTGAAGAAGTTAATAAACTCTGCATCAGAAGAGATCAAATGTGTGGAAAACATTGTATTCTCATCGTTCAATCCTCCTCCCAGCCACAGAAGGTATAAAACAAACTATTTTTAGCATTTGTTAAGTCATAAATTTACCATTTATGCTGTTTCTTATGAATTTATTTGATGCAGGCTTGTAGGAGATCTAATATATTTGGATGTTGTGACACTGGAAGGTAACAAGTACTGCATTACGGGCACAACAAAAACATTTTATGTTAATTCTAGCTCAGGGAATTTTCTCGATCCAAGGCCTAGTAAATCTGGATTTGAAGCAGCTACGCTGATAGGACTATTGCAAAAACTGAGCTCTAAGTTTAAAAAAGGTGGGAAACATTATATACACCGTTCTTCTGAAGTCTTATAATTACTCTTTTTTATGATTTGATATGCTTTCAGTCTGTTGATTAGCTTCTATTTTCCTTTAATTTTGAAGCTTTCCGTGAAGTCATGGAAAAGAAAGCCTCTGCACATCCATTTGAAAATGTCCAATCGCTTTTGCCACCACACTCATGGCTAAGAACATATCCTGTTCCCGGTGAGTTTGATTTAAATAGCAATTAAATAAGCATTTCATATCTTGTTTATTACAGGGTACTCTTGTTCTGCATAGTAGTATTGTTTAGTATCTTGCTTCTTTACTTTTGTGGCTAGATCAATAGTTCTTTCAGAGCGGCTGTTACTATGTGTTATCCAGTTTTAAGCAGTTATAATGGTTTTGAAATATTCACATGAAAGCCATAGTAGTGGGGTAAAAGATTCCCTTAAATATTCGTTGTGATGTTTTTTCCTCTGACAAATTTACCTTAATTAATTTATAGGTAATATGTGGTCAGTTTTGTTGCTTGTTTATCGACATCATACTACGCATATGTTTTATATTTAAAACATGTGCGTCTGCTACAACTATTGATGTTTGAGTAGATAAGTTATTTTATTTGTGATTGATAAACTAGGATATTCAAAACTATTTGCCTTTTGTCCCCATTTCCACAAAAGATACACTTGCATTAGATTGATTTCAAATATATCTGAGCAAGGACTCTTGTATTGGACTTAGATCACAAGCGCGATGCAGCGAGAGCTGAAGAAGCACTGACCATTTCCTATGGTAGTGAGCTGATTGGTATGCAAAGAGATTGGAATGAAGAATTGCAATCGTGCAGAGAGTTCCCTCACACTTCTCCTCAGGAGAGGTACATTTGATATTTGACTACATTGAATTTTTGGTAGCATAACGTTATTCTTGTGGGATTCTATTCCTTTCTTGAACATTTCCTTTTTTTTTTTGCAGGATCTTACGTGACAGGGCACTTTACAAAGTGTCTTCTGACTTTGTCGATGCAGCGCTTAACGGAGCTATTGGTGTAATCAGCAGATGCATACCACCCATAAACCCAACTGATCCAGAGTGTCTGCACATGTCAGTGTGAATTGTTTGGCCTTTATATTTGATTCTCATAGGCAACTCATATGTTTTATTGATTCTGGCTTTTGTCTTTACTTGAAATTTTGGCAGTTGAGTAATTCCCTTTTTTATTAAGGTGGAAAAATGACAGAGTTCTAAAACACTTGTTATTGTTACACTGTTGTAGGTATGTGCACAACAATATATTTTTCAGTTTTGCTGTTGATGCCGACATTGAACAGCTATCCAAGAAACGTCCATCTAATCAAGTGACTGAGAAGGTGTCCTCATCTGAAAAGGTTTCATGCACAGAAGGAACCTGCGATAATGAAGAGCTTAACTGCTGCAACGAGGCACCACTAGTTGAAAATGAGCAGGCAACATATGCTTCTGCAAACAATGACTTGAAAGGCACAAAGTTATATCAAGAAGCTGATGTCCCAGGGCTATATAACCTGGCAATGGCCATTATTGATTACAGAGGTCATAGGGTTGTTGCTCAGGTTGGTTCTAACCCTGGAACTGCCAAGTCCATGATTTTGAGATTATCTATGTCTTGCTTGTGTGAATTTCACTGTTATCTTTAAAATGATTTTTAGAGTGTTCTACCGGGAATTCTTCAAGGGGACAAATCAGATGCTCTTTTGTATGGTTCAGTCGACAATGGCAAGAAAATATGTTGGAATGAAGATTTTCATGCTAAGGTAAATGGATATAGTCTGGCTTGCTGTTGG